TTTATTTTTCTACATTACAAAACAGCTCAAACTGTCCAGGTCTCCTCCTCCTCCATGCCTGCTCAACACGGAGCTTCGCCACAGTTCACTTTCAAGCAGGACTGTCCTAATTGGTTGCAACGGGGACCAAAGATGGGTGTGTAAGAGTCTACGCTTCCTCATCATCGCTTCCTGCGAGGCTACTGTCTGTAGAGTTCGCTTCCTGCTCCTGTCGCTGTGGTTCTGTTTCTGGGGGCTGTTCGGGCTCCGTGGTGCTGGACGGTTCTGTGGGTTCAGTGGTAGTGGCGGCCTCTGCTGGCTTGGCGTTGTTGTTCTGCTGTCCCGGATTGCCTCCGTCCAGGAAAGTAGACCAACCCTTAAGCCGCTCCTCCCGCTCACGTGTTGTCTCTTCCACCTGCACACACAGAAATAACATCAAGGATGCAAAGATATCCAAATAACTTAAATATCACAATATTTATTAACCACAATAATCTTACATTAACAGCAAAAGTGAATATAGTATTAGAAGTAAGCTTTAACACTTGATTTTATTATCAAAGCCCAAACACTTTTGTCCCATCTGTGTTTATGTACAGAAACAAACAAAATGTGTGGCTGAAGGGTTGCAAAGAGTATAAACCAGGAGCTACCAAGAGTCATATAGTGATCATATACAAGAAGCTTGTATAATCCTTTCATTAGCTTGGCTGTGCATCCAAAGTTCTCCATAAATATCAAAATATTTGTATTTTGCCTTTGATATACCTGATAGTCTGTCGTTCCATCCCAAAGCTGAGCAGACAGCTGCCTCCCTCCAAACCAGCGACCATTGAATGACTCAATGCATGCATCTGCTTGCTCAGGCTCCTTAAATGCGACTGACGCCACGCCGTCTGGGTGTCTCTGCAGCATAAACACAACCACACACACACCAGTTCTTTATTGATGTCACTAAAATAAAAAAATATATAACAAATCCGGCTATGCAAACAGCACTAATGACATTAAAACTCACATCAAAGAGGATGACCTTCTTGACCTCCCCAAACTTCTCACACTCTGTCCGCAGATCGTCACGATACTCATTGAGCTCCAGTGGGTCTTCCTACAGAGGCCAACACAGACACACAGAGATTAATACCCTATGTGGACAATGTGCATGTGTGAGAATGTATGTGCATGTGTGTCTCTATGCACCTCAAAGTCACTGGGATGGAACATGTTTCTAATGATGACAACTTTTTCATGCCTTTTCCTCAGTTCTCCTTTCTTCTCTGGCCTCCAATCCAACTGTCTACACAGACAAAGACAAACAGGCACAATCAGCAGGAACCCATGTAATGTGTTTAAGAAGTGAGACTTGTGGGAGGTTAAATTAAAAGAACAGGAAGTACAGTTTACTTCTGTTGCTGCTGCATCCTCTTCCTATAATCTTTGCTCTTCTTCTTCTTCTTGCTGGCGTCATACTGGCCCTTTAGCTCAAACCGTGCTGCTTCCACATGGAGTCTGTAACCTCTGACCTCCGAATCGTCAATCAGACGCAAAGCCAATGCCACCGACTCCTTCTGCAGAGAATCACATGAAACACACACACTGTCCTTCACTGGAGTGTAATGCAATACTAACTAATAGTTGTACTCTTTACAATACAATTCAAAGCCAAAATCAGAGAGACAAAGAAAAGATGCATCTCTACCCACAGAAAGTTAATAGTTAAGTTATATTTGTCAGCTGGTCAGAAAGAGGAAAGTAAATGCTAATGTAGCTCTATGACTTCCATTGCAAACATGTTAGCAATGTAATAGCTTGTTTTGGAGTTCTTCTGCCTTCTAATATGGCGTTTGTGCTGTTTTAAAGTTTACACAATTATGTTATCTGAGAGTCAGAAACTTTATTTTTGTTGCCAAACAGAGAAAAGTTTGCATCCAAAACTCAACTTAAAGGACAAAAAAAAAGGTCATATTCCAGACAAACTGATGTGCTGCAACCAGGAAACTTTAAGTTTCAGGCAAGCAGAACGACAGACTAACCTTGAGGTAGCAGCAGAGGCCGTCTCCCTTTAGATTCCCTTCTTTGTCCTTGTAGAGTTTGACCTTGTACTCTTCGCTGATGGGGTCCCGCATCACAATGCCGCACTTAGACATCAACTCAACAAACTCCTCAGTGCTGATGTCAGGAGGAAGACCTGAGGGAAAGAGACCAGGAGAGAAAAAGGAAGAGTGAGAAAGAATAAAACAGAGGCAGCTGTTGGGTATCTGCTTGGTCTCCCTTGATTTGTATGAACTTTGAGCTGGTTCATGACACTTGACAATGAGAAAAGAAATGCTGGCAATACCAACCTGACACATAGACGTTCGTGTTTTTATTGTCATCAATGTCGAACCATCCTACAGGCACAAAAAAGGGGGGGAAATGATCAAAACATGCGTTTGCACAAACTTAAACTTAAGACTTAATTGTACATGTTGTAAACAAATTAATTACTATTGTAAAAAGGGAGAAAGGTGGAAACATACACCAATAACTGCAGGTGTTTAAAACAAAACAAAAATCCGATACCAACCATTTGTTGATTCCTATTTGTGTGTTGGTTACTGCACTGGTTTTCATTTTACCTGCCTCTGCTTTCCTCTTCTCTCCTTTCTGCTTTGCTTCTTTATCTGGGGTCTCAGGCTGGTCTGCCTGTGGGGCCTGGGGGGCATCGCCGGCTTTCTCCTTTTCTGAAGACTTGCTGTCTGGTTCTGGAGCTGCTGGGTCGGTGCCACTCACTGTAGCACTGTTGGCATCTGGATCTCCTTCCTTAGTGAAACCATAGTTGGCCTGGTAGGCTGCAATGAAGTCCTCTGTTATCTAAAAAAAATAAAGCAAACCTACTTAACATTAACACAGAAAGTGGCTGTGACTAATTATGCCACAGCTCATAGAGGTTGTAACTGTTAAAAGTTAATGCCCTACAGTTAACAAAAAGTAGTATTATATGAACATAAAACTGCTCTATGCGTAAAATCAGGCATGGTACCTGAGAACTTTATGTCCTGAATTAAGATCTGCTCCCTCAAGCACAGAGGAAGAAGGGCTACCTGTGTCAATGTAATGCTACTGTATATCTATCTATCTATCTATCTATCTATCACTAAATGGGAACATAAATGCATTCTGACCCTATAAACTGGCATAGATACTGAATTCCCTCAGGTGAGAAAGGATGTCTTTCATAGAGAACATCATTGGGGTAAACTAAAGGATTCTGACTGTCTCTTAAAACCCTCGCCCTCAGCAATAAGTCTCACAATTCATGCGCCAATGTCGACTACGACTTCCATATATGTCAGCATTTTTTTCCACAAGATTGTGGGTGGAGGGGAGGTGGTTTATAGAGTAACATCGAGTTAACTGTGAAGCGTTACCATTAAATTACCATGACAACCTATACTGGGTAGAACTTATCCACCTTTTGTATTTCAAGTTAACCTGCAAGTTACAGCCAGCAGAGTCACAGAGTTACTCCTGAAGTCACATGGATAAGCCAGTACCTTGTACCGTAGTACCCATGATGCATTTATTGTCAGGTGTGGCCAGTGATAGTATACAAGCTGATATGATACTAACATACCTTGAATTGAACGACACATCTTAAAGTTAATGCTATTGTTGTCATGTCACAGCTTCTCCAGTCAGAGTAACATAATATACTGAACATCGCAAAGTCAACCAATCTGGCAAAAAGCAAGGCCTTACATCAGAATAATAAGCACAACCCACAATCAGTGTTGAAAAAATAAGACCACACGCATTTAAGTGCAGAATCATATCAGCAACAGAAATAATAGCAACAAAGATCTGATGCTAAGGGACTGATCAACTTTAAAGAACAAATATGATGTAGAAAAACAAAAGCTGGGAGGTGAAGAAAAGTTCATACTTTAGGGAACCAGGCCTTCTTTTCATGGTCCCAGTCATACACAGTCCCATCTTGGGGGTCAGTGTAGGTGTACGGGTCAGAGCCATCCTCATTTCTCTGGCCGTAGAGTTCCTGCATCCGCAGCTGCTCCATAAACTCCTTGTTGGCCTCTGGTCCACCACTCATCTGCCACCACAACATGAAATGTAATGTTACACAGATCAACAAGCCATTATTTTTCACCGGTATAAAGCAGCTGTATTAAGCCCCAATGTAGCAAGTATTTCACACTGAAGCAGTAATAACAGTAGTAATAATAGTCGTAATACCCTGCTTTGCCATCTTCTATTACATATTTCAGAAGTTGTTACAACATAAAGCAGTCACAGTCTGGCAAAGATTAAGGATGATTTGGTTTCTATCCATCAGAAGACAGCAAAGAAGTATTTTCTCTGTACGCACAGATTAAGTAGAAATATATACAAAATGTGTGTGTGGTTCATCAACAACTGTTACAGTAAATAGTAGTAAAATATATAACTGTAAACGTATACATTGTTTGTTTATACACCGGGCCAATGGTGTATAAACAAACAATCAGCCAGTTGCTTTAACTCATCACATTAATGTGATTGTTGAGAAATGTCAGATTGAAACAATGTCAGCAAGCCACCCGTTCACACATCTGTTGTGTTTTATTTCACATCAGGATAAATGACTGATACCCTCCTCTAACACCTGAAGGTCTGTGGCGGACAGCATGAGTCCTACTGGTAATCAATTACTTCATGTTAGCCAGTACAGCTAACAGCTAGCGTTACCTTTTACAATAGTCCAGGCAAACTCAGATCTGGAAGCTCGGTACGAAGGTTAATGAAAACAGGCTCCACACCCACAGAAGAGAGGCTGTCTCTGTGCTTTAATAATGCAGTTGTTGGTGGTTTAAATTATTTCTGAATTGAAACCATCGTTAATCGCCGCCTGCTAACGTTTTCAGAGTCCGCCGACGACGAAGTACATCCGGTGTCAGGTTCCGAATGCGCATGCGTGGTAGCTGAAGATCTGAAGCGCTTGATTTGTAATACGGCGTCTCCCTTTTCACTCTAGCGATTTGCGCACACGGCGATTGAATTTATATTTTTTAACGACAAGTCTAATTATTTTTTTCTATTTTATTTTAAGTCTGTGTAATGCATTTATTTTACACGTGCTTTGGCAACGTAAACGGCTGTTTCCAATGCCAGTAAAGCCTCTTTGAATGTGAAAATTGAACCGATTGATCACTCCGCCGGCGGTGTAAACACAGAACGAGTCGACCTCATGTCCTGTAGCAAAACGAGCACCGACAGCGTCGCTAGCCAGCTAGCTTTCATTTAGCAAATCTTTGCTAAAAGGCGTGTTGGCATGGCGGAAGGTAGCGGTAACGTTAACGCCGGTGCGGCAAACCTTCCTGCGGGAGACCCGCAACTTATCGGCATGATTGTGGAGCATCTGAAGAACCGGGGGCTTTTTGACGAGTTCCGTCGGGACTGTCTTGCCGACGTCGATACGAAGGTAACGTAATCAGCTAACGCTACACTGGCTTCCTCTGTGCTAGTACTCATGGACTTTATTATATCGCATTTATCTTTTAACCCGTTGCTGATTTACTTGGGATGAAGTTAACAAGGTGTTGTTTTCGTTGTTGCTACAATATACCCGCCCCTCCCCTCGTTCACAGAGTACTACGCTTTGTTTGTGTGCTACGAGTTGACTTCTGATCGCTGTCACTGTCATTGCTCCCAGCCTGCCTATCAGAACCTGCGACAGAAAGTTGACAACTTTGTCACGTCTCAGCTGAGCACACAGGACTGGAACCCGTCCATCAACAAGAACCAGATGAGGAACGGACTGAGGCAGAGTGTCGTTCAGTGAGTGGTCGCTATTACACTGTGCACACACACTGTTAAAGCAATAACAAACAATGTCACATGTACAGATTATTTATGAATTCAGGATTTATTTGTTTGTTTGTTTTTTTATTTTTTTGGTGAATAATTGGAAAAGGCAGTCCACAGTCTAAAGTTAATGATTGCATAGCTGTCATTTGCTGTGACATATAAAAGTGAAGTCCAGTCATTGTGCCACATTGTTCCAATAAAGGGGTTCTCCAGATATCTAAATATAATTGAAGGACTCCCAAGAGACAGTCAGAATTAGAGCTACAACTAATTATTGTTTTCATTCTCAATTAATCAGCCAATTATTTTTGTTTTATCTATGAAACAATTCAGACTTTCCCTTATATCTTCCTCGAGCCTAGTGTCATGTCTTCAGATTGTCTGACCAAACCCATAAAATGTTCAATTTACAGTCATATAAGACACATTGGAGGTCCCCTTTAGTGGTGATCACACTGAAAGGAGTTTCATTATAGTTTCCATTCAAGTAAAAAGGTAATTCTATGGTAAAAATAACAGCGTCTCTTCTTGGGTCAAACCCCCTTAGGCCTTCTTCCACTCCTGTTTCTTCAGCTCTCCTTCATTAACTTCTGTTTGTGTTGTGTTTGTTAGATCGGGTATGCTGGAGTCCGGTGTGGACAGGATCATCACTCAGGTCGTGGACCCCAAGATGAACCACACTTTCCGGCCGCACATAGAAACTGCCATCCATGACTTCCTGTCGGGGGACAGGAGGGAGGAGAACACCCAGAGTTGTAACTCTGCACCATGTGAACAAACAGAACCACAAGAGGCCCCGGCGTCTGCCTCTGGCCCCAAAACCCCCTGAGGTCCATTTTAAAAACTGAAGAACAGTCTAAAGTCAAGAACGATTCAGCTACATAGTTAAGAAATCCGTATTTTCTCTCTTGCTGCAGGTACACATGCTGGTCTTTAGTGGTCTACACATAATGTTGTGTGGCTGTGTTGGCCCTTTGAGAAGATGCAGCATCAGACAAGAGGAGGATGTTTCCTGATGCCTCTGTTTAACAGACTGTAGTCAGGAGTCCGGAGTGTTTCCGCATTCAAAATGTTCAGCATGAGATGTTGTTTCATTGCCCGTCTGTGCTGCACGAGGCCACTCCTGGAGAAGTTGGACAATGCCGAGTGGTGCCCAGACACTGCACTGCACGGCTCTGCCTTTTGGAAAAACATGGCACAAAACCTGGATTATTATTTTTGAGTTTTTGTTTTGGGCCTTTTTTTTTTATGTGCGATATTGGACATATTTTTATTTTTGGACAATTGTATATTTTGTGATGCAGATTTCTCACTTTGTATAGACATTTCCCATTAATGTTGACTCACAATATGTTAAACTGATGATGAATGAAGGCGATGAGCTGATTGGTTTCCAGTTAGGAGGATTAGAGGAAGAACATCCTGCAGTTTCTTTCTAAATACATTTGTTCAGTATCTCAAGGTCTTAATTTTTCATCACATCATGTAGGGTTTTCTTTTGGTGCATGTATTTAGTTGGTATGTAGTATTGACTGTGAATCCTATGTGCTTTAGTAAACACAGTTGAGATCATGTTCCTCTCTGTCTTCTTCTTTTCACTTTGTACCCATTTGTAGTTTTCTACATGCAGTAACGTTCTCTGCTCCCTATGTGGAAAACAGAGCAGATCATGTAATCATAAAACCACCAGGTGGGGTAGTTGTTCTCAGTTGGGTATTTTGTCAGGAGTTGCATTGAGTGATGACTTACTTGAACCTTTTGCAAGAGCCACAGAGACAGAGACATTTAAGGAGGAAGTACACTCCAAATACTTGTGTTCATCCTGTATTGTAAAATATACCATTAACGCTACAGATTCATGTTTATTTATTATATAATTTTTTCAGTTTCCTTTTCAAAGACAAAACTCAAGTCCTTTCACTCTCAAAGTCTCGACAAGTCCTGGCTTAAACGTCAGTCCATCAGTTTTGTGTGTGTGTGTGTGTGTGTGTGTGTGTGTGTGTGTGTGTGTGTGTGTGTGTGTTATCAGAGTTTGCGTAACTTTATTGATTTAGCTACTTGTTTTTGGCAGGAGACTGATCCACACTTTAACACAAATGTGTGTGTCAGAGTGAAGTCAGAGGCACTTAAGGCATTGCAATAGTTTAATCTATTTTTTTTGTTGCAGGAACTGTTTCAAGTAAATAAATTTTTTCAGTTATTAATTTATTTATTTATTAATTTCCAAAAACGAATTTCTGTTTTTTAACCATTCAACGAGCTATTGAATATAATACAATGCTTTATATACTTTCAAATGATGCCTGTGATCCTCCATATGAGTTACGCTAAATCACAAAATAATCATATTTTCTTAGTTGTCCCCAGTGGTGCTAAAAGCATAAAAAATGCAATCAAATTGTATTTGAAAAACTCAACAGCAGCGTGTCTTTACAAAAATAAAGTCCTGGTAAGTCAAAGCCTCAGCACATCAAACCTGAACTATGTGTGTGGTTTGTGTGAACTGACGCAAAAACAGCAGTGTGGCCCTTTGAAGTGGATTAAGTTCTGCATCCTGTAGTGAACTAAACACATGAGGGCAACTGATCAGTGATATGATCAATGATATAAACCCAAAGGTAACTGTAATGCTCCCTCAGATCAATTATCACAAAGCCGATACTTCTGAATTTGATCTATATGCAGACAAACACACATAGACATGTTGTTTACAACATGACCATGTGAGAGACAGAGTACAAGAGTGTCCTACATGTGTACTGTTTGCTCAGTGGTGTCTGTGTACGTTTTTTGTGCCATTTTGGGCATGTGAGCGTGTGTGTTCGGTGTCGGGGTGAAGGGTCATTGTGTAGGTGGTCATCAGGGGTTGTGTCAGGGAAGCTGAGGGATGTTGTTTTGAAGCAGGATGAGACAGAGAACAAGCGGGAAAGGTCAGGAAAAAGTCCAAACATTAGTCCCTGTAAGAGAATGTCTTACCTAACTGGGCCCCTGCACACACACACACACACACACACACACACACACACACACACACACACACACACACACACACACACTAAACACACCCCGTCTTTCTACCTTGACCTCACTCTATAGCACAAAACACTTGTCTCAGCCACGTATAGTGACGGCTCTCTTAGACGTAGGGTAGATAAACCCGAGGAGGCAGGAGAGCAAGGAGCGAGGGGTATTTGTTTGCCTCCTGTGGAGCTGCTGATGTCATGTGACTGTGGCCTGTACCTTTTGTGGATGTCAAGGGTCAGAGGTCATGGCTGTTGTGAGACAAAACATTCAACCACAACAACCAGGCTGCAAGATTTGATAACAAAAAAAATAACTTGGTGACCTCAGCTTGCACTACAAAGTTTTTTCTATCCCCTGCAATTTTGAGTTGGTACAAACAAACCTAACAAAAAAACATATAGTGTGATCTACTGATCGACTGTAGCCCTATCTGCTGAGGTTTGAGATATCTGTTGCTGAGATTTCTGCTTCCTTCCCAATACAATGGGGGTGAATTTGTGTGAACAAACACTTTAAATTCACAGCTTACACATCAAAGATTAGTAGCTGTTAATGGCAGTAACAGCAAATCTGGTCAATATACCACTACAATGATTTTATTTTATCACAGATATTTTCACCAGATTTGGTGTTTTTCAAGACAAGTTTAAGCAAAATATCATTTAATATATACACTGCCTGGTGGCAACGTTAAAGTTCAACCTAATTATTCAGCATTTAAAAAGAAAAAGCTGAAAAATGCTAGATTATTGTTCAGATATCCGTGGTGCAGAGAGGATGAATTGGGACTTTTCACATGGCGGCACCCTGAGGTCAAAGTTACAGACAGAACTAATGACCTCAGCCTCAGCTATGGGCTACTTTGTATTTAGTAAACTCACTAAACTCCTCCTGAACATCAGCATTTTAGCATTGTCATTTTGAGTATGTTGATCTTAGCAACCAGCTCCAAGCACTGCTGTAGCATAAGTCTCGCAGTTAACATAGCATAAGAAATAATCGGTCAACGAGATTTTTCACTAGAGCCCGACCCGGTGAGAGTTTTTTGAGACAGATACCCCTTTTAGAGTGGAAATTACCCATATGGTGGTCCTCAGAGGGCTGGTGTCTTAAACAAACTTTTATTAAAGACTAAACAAAAATAAATTAATAGCTAGAGATCAGCCTTTTTACATTTATTTATATTATATATTATATTAGCACTTCGAATGACATATACGCCGATACCTGTACGATAGTTGTGTGTGTGATAGGCCAATATTGACCAACCAATATATCGGTTGAGCTCTATTTTTCCCAACCTGGAAACCCAACATTTATACTTAGTAAAGGCTTTTAACTGATCTGGATCCACAAAGCATTACTAACTTATTAATTAACCATTGTAAAAGCCGTTTGTTACAACTTATAAACCCTTTATAAACCGAGTGTTATTGCAAACTGGTGCCAGACGTTTTGTATAAGAATACTACAGGATTTATTTATATAAGCATGTCAGACAGACATGATGTGAAAAATGTGAGTTTACAGGAATGTAGCACTGTAACAATTTGTAAAAAAAAAAAAAAAAACCTGACCCTCTTCACATAGACTCTCTCTCTCTTTCAGTCTGCGTGCTTCAGATACGTTCCTCACTGCACGTCTCCCTGCCAAGAAAGCAGCTGCTAACACTCAAACACACACACACACACACACACACACACACACACACACACACACAGGGCTGGCTGGTGGGTTAATTGAGTGTGGATGTCTTGAGTGGTTGACCTTCACGTGCCCCCGCAGACTCCAGGGGAACAGGAAGACCTTATAAGAGCATCTTTACTTTATGAAATTAGGATTTACTTCCTCGGCTGATTCTCTCTCATTCAGTATGTTCCTATTCGGACTCAATAAATACACACACTCCGCTACTGTTAGTGCCATTTTTTAAATTATTTTTTAATCTCATCAATGATAAACTTTTGGCTCCAGTGCGGTGCGCGTTCACACGGGGCTGCGCTGTGATTGGTGGAGACGCAAACTCAAGGGCCGTCGTGAACGCGCAGATCACATGCGGCTTTATATATTTCAGCCTTCATGTCGCGGCCGTACTGTATAGTGGAAAGTCCTCTGCTGGGCTCCTGCTGCTCTGACCTTGTTAAACAAATTAGACACACATAAAAAAAAAAAAAGAAACAGCTAAATACGAGATTTGATTGGTCTAAAGCATGCCGGCGAACTTGTCCGCTGTGTTTTGTGTGTTTTTTGTGCTCCTGGCCCAGGTGCTGACCGTGGATCCGCATGATGTCCAGGAGAAACAAGTGAGCCAGGCCAAAAGACGCCTCTCTTTGCAGAGCACAGGTGAGCTCTTAACAGCATGTACTGCTACGCTTTGTCGGTCCTGCACTGCACATTGCATCCAGATTGTTTTAATGTGCCCAAAAGTGCTAAAATACACTGAAATATTAAGGAAGCTTTTCTTTTTGTGGGTTTAAAATGCCCTTTTTGCGCATTGTTTGTGTGCAGTCGCTGGATTCAGCAGACCTGTGTGATTCCTTTCTGTCCAGCTTTAACACTGATAGGACGGATCGTATATGTGATCTGTATTGTGATGCTCCCCCTGGATCCCACCGGGGAACACCTGAATTATAAGGCTATAACTGCCCAGTACTGCACATGTGTTATATTTAATATTATATCATCATTTAATATATGACAGTTTTGTTGTAAATAGTAGTAGCAGCTCATTTTGTGTATCTTCTGCATGGCATTATGTCTGTTTTCTATATGTTGCCCTTTTATTGCATTGGTAAAATAGGTCTAGTTTAGTTTATATTGTTTTAATAAGCTATATCATAGGCCGACCGGTCTGTCCCTCACCGGGCCGGGCAGTACAGTGCGCCTCTCTCCTCTGGCTCTCCTGCTCTGTTGGTGGCTGTAATTCAATGCGCAGCTCCGGAGGCTCGATCCCGTCCAAGCACATTCCCTCCGTACCAGCAGGGCGGTGCATTACGGCACCTCCGAGCCGGAGCTGACCTGCAGGCTGCACAACATCAACAACAGCAATAACAGATAGTAGAGGCCGATGTCAGCAAGAAGAACATAATTGCAATAACATATAGCACGTTTGAACAACGGGGGATGCGTTCCTTGCTTCCTTACATTCATCATTATGTAGATTTCAAAGTGAAAAGAATTGTTGTCCATCTCTGATGTTGGTCAGTTTCAGTTTTCTGTTTCCTCTGCAGTGGCGGACCCAGGCTGTCAGGGGGCATGTTGTGGGGCACCAGTGCACAGAAAGTCCTGATGCATTTATGGTTAAACACTTCCAAACCTTCTAGGGAAGCACATATATGGCACTGCATCAAGTTCTCGCCGCTGGAAGAGCACTGCAGAGGGCACTTTATCACTTTTGTCTGAACATGGGTGCACCAGGAGGGGTCACAATTAACTTTTCCTGTCTGTAAAACTGATGCAGTGTAATGTGAGGACATGACACAACAGGAAGCTCCCGAGGTCATCCTGACCATGTGATGTCATTGTAATTTGGGAGACATTGTGGTATCACTTTGGTGGAATTTATTATCTCTGCTTCTGTCTCTTTCAGCGGAGATTCAGAGTTGCCTGGTGAGCTCAGGGGATGTCGGCTGTGGGACGTTTCAGTGTTTCAACAACAACTCCTGTGAAATCCAAGGCCTGCACGACATCTGTCTCACTCTGCTTCACAACGCCGGGCGCTACGACTCTCAGGTGGGGAGCAGCATGAGAGTCTGACCCAATTTCAAACACTCAGACACTCAAAAAAGCAGATTTTGAAAGTCGCCCCTTTTTGCCATTAGGCCCCTTTTACACTAACTGACACTGTGAAACCGTGTCCAACAGCAACTACGGGGCAGGCTTAGATAAGATACATGTTTTTACTTCATTTAATCCCTTCAATCATTACAGTCATTTGTGAGGAATGCTCGTTGTATAAGGAGCAGTGTATAGTTATGCATGGTAGCATGGGTTACAGAACAAACTGAGAAGGGAACTGAAATGAGAGAGGGAACAGCTTGTCTACTTTACTAGAATAGAAGTGCATGAGAGAGTGATGCAAGTCTAATGTGTCTCCAGCAGGATCAGGCACAGTGGATGATGTTCAGTAAAGACCTGTGAGTGACCGTTTACTGGAGATATAGCACAGTATCAGCCAGTAACAAACAATATAATAAGATATTGAAAGGCAAATGTCCTGGCCATGAGTTTGTTGGGAGGTGTCTTTTAAATTTGTATTCTACGAGTCACCGTGGCAACATTACTGATGCTTTAAGTAAGCATTTAACCAACCCACCGCTGAAATTAACCTCCATGTTGTCTATTAATTCCTGATAATGGACCCCTCAAAGGGCATTATCCCACTTATACCATGGTCCCTTTGCAAAAAACCCTGCTTTATGCTACCTGCTCAGCACCAAACAGCAGGTAGACACACTCAGAGACGAGCTGGTGAACATAGTGGAGCGTTCAGCGGCTAAAAAGAGAAAGAAACCCAAAATCAGAACTACAAGAGAGTGAATACTGTTCGTCAGGTGGCACGGTCCTTGGTGTTAGAGGTAGTCAAAGGCAGGCTTCTCATCCTTGTTTTGCAGCCACTGTAGTTCTTCCTACACACTTCACAGCCTGTTCTCATTCTCAGGCTGTTAAATACTGTTCAGTTAGTTGCAATCTGCAACTTCACCTCTAGATGCCACTAAACCCTCCACACTGGTCCTTTAAATCAGTCCTTAATGCATATTTAATAAATATGCATTTGATGGTTATGTGATATTGTGCCAGACAATTGAGGCTAAAGGTAAACTCCATGTCCCAATGAAACAGTCAGCCCTCAGTCACCAGTTGATGATCTATGCAGAAGACATGTAAATAAAGAAACAGTACTGTTCTTGGACTGTAGAGATGGAAACATTTAAATAAGACTGCAATCTTAACATAAGCACACTTAGTATTTTCAAACTGTTTGTCTTTACTTTTAACATCACAAGAAGAAAGCACTATGTCAGGTAGCGCAGGTCGAATTGCAGCACAGTATGGAAATATTTCACAGTGGATATTCTAGTGTTGTAAAGGGATTTATTTACAGTTACTTCATGATTTACTTCTAGGCCTTGGAATTAACGTTAGATTACAGCAGTATGTTGTAAGCAGACAGAATTTCACCTGTGTTTTGGGGTTTTGAAAAGGTTTTGCTCTCACTCTCTGAATAGGTAACTGATTGCTAACACATTGGAGTGTTAAACAGTAATGTTAGAGGTATGTGAAATAAGATTCGTGTTGGAATTTTACATAGGAAGTGAGCAGAAACAAGGGAATTGACACACATCCCAGGCCAAATCAGTGCAAGCTATAAGACATGTCCCACTGATTCCTTCTGTTGCTCTCCTCCTCCCCCTCCTCCCCCCAGGGCAAGTCATTTGTGAAGGATGCTTTGCGGTGCATGGCGCTGGGACTGCGGCAGCGCTTCAGCTGTGTGAGCCGCCGGTGCTCAGCGGTAAAAGAGATGGTGTTCTCGCTGCAGAGAGAGTGCTACTCCAGACACCAGCTCTGCCTGGCTGTACGGGACCACATGGACACCATGGGTAACCTGGTCCAGTTCCACCTGATGTTTCCGCCGGGGTGAGAGAGAAACACATTAATAAAGAATCAGCAAGTTTTTGTATTTAAACCCTAAGAAAAATCTAAATAAAAACATGAAACGTGAACCTGAATGAGGGCTGAATTCCATTTAGCTGCTTCAGTTTCAGGGTCCAGGTGTTGTTCTTGCTGGCTCACTGTCACAATGTCATGACTTACTGGACCATTTGAGTAGAACAGAGCCATTGTTCATTACTATCATTACTAGCACCTGTGCTATTCCTACTATAATGAGTCAACATATCTGCTGGAAAAAGGCTATTTCACTTGCTCTAATGAACACAACAGCTGGTCAATTTACTCATGTGTGCATGTCCCACCAGACCGTACGTGGAGCTGATGAACTTCCTGTTGAAGTGTGGAGACGAGGTCAGGTTGTGGGTCGGCCGGCGACTGCGCGGGCAGTGCGAGCAACAATGGGGTGCGTTGTGCGGTAGTTTTAGCAACACCTGCTCCCTCAGCCAATTGGATGCTCCGCAGCACACCACCGCCCCTCCACCCACCGCACCCTGGCCCATCCCTGTTCAAGGACCCTCGCAGCAGCCAACCAGAGCGGCAGAACTAGAGAACACGAGCGCGCTCAGTAAGATCAACACCACCGAATCTGGTCTGCCCGTGTCTGAGAAATCCAATGTTACTGCGTCATAAAAAGACAGGCAGGTCACGCAGAGGTGCAGACAGGGTACACAAAGATACAAAGATCATGCACTTATTACTATTATATTAGTAGTACAATGAGTAGTGGTAGTGTTAGTTTTATCAGAGTATTAAGTGTAGTATGGTGAAAGCGATGCAACATAACTTATTTAATCTGTTGGGTTTTTGTGCTATATTAATATTTTTCTTTGTACAAGGATGAAAAAACAATTATCTACCTCACTGCAACATCACAGTAAACCACAGTGACTGTATCGTTCAGCAAAAGGCATGGACACACACGACAACACTACAGGGAAGTTGTCTCTAGCTCAAGTGCAGCTGATGGCTCCAAGTCAATATTCTACCTATTTAAGTCTGTTTTTGTATTTATGAGGATTGTTATATTATGCACCGTATAGCTGACACACTATCAAACGTTATCTTGTAGACAGTCGGACTGCAGGAAGGGAAGCACTCTTTGGTTATGACGTGTTATAAATATGTATTTTTTGATGTTCTACTTGAACGATCACATTTCATACAAACCCCAGGTTTCAAGCTATGTTTTGTACGTTTTTATTTAAATGAATCGAAAAATACATTTGTAAACATTTTAATTGAAAGTCAATAAACTACAATGATGTTACTGAACAGAGAGAAGTGTGTTAAGTTCTGTAAGATAGTTCTTCACACAAATTCACAGTGTAGCATCTCTGATGGTGATAAACGTTGGGTATCCTGCCATCTACTGGCACATCTGTGGCAATGCTGCCACAAACAATGTGTCCCTCAATATTTTGCAACTTTATTCAAACAAACAAACCTTGTGCATTCACACAGTCTCTGACTCAACATGGTACATAATGAGATTTCTGACTCAGTAGTCTGGATGTTGAAATGGAAGGAAGGAAGGCACAAGGTATACTTGTCAATAATTGTAGCAAAAGCATCTTTGGAAGTCATCAAGAGCAGACCGACATACACTTTCCATATTGAACACACACTGATTGTTATTTGACAAAATGTAAACAAAAGCAGGGTTATTACATACTACGGCCTTGACCTTGGTAAGTTCCAAATGTCAGATGAGGTAAGACCTCAATACGCTTCAAAGTGCTTTTTTAAAATAGTCACACTCACGTTATGCAGCATCTGCTCAGGGGTGCAGACGTGTGAAAGTAGGCAGAATTTAAACATCTACTGCTGTCACTGCTGCACATGCAGCGCCATAAAGACCTTCAAGGAGAGACTGTCTGAAAGTGTGCATCCTTATCCTAATTTATATGAACTGTTGCATCGAGATACAGTCAATTCTTAGAGGCTGAACATCGGCAAATGAGACGGTATTCACCGATGTCAGTGGCCGATGTTTATCTGTTGTGTCGTAATCAGTTTTGCGCTGGCGACCAGGTTTGTGTGAAGCATGCTATGGCTTTAAACCTATCAGTACTGTTGCATGAAACCCCATAATGCCAGTTTAAATCCATAAGTTGATCTTACAAAAACTTTCATACCCATTTTATAGACCCACATATTGCATATTGTTCAAGCTAAAAACAAGGGTGCTAAACAAGAGGAAACAGCCTCCATGTGCGGAGGTCTGGTCTCAGTGCTACTTCTAACTGTGGTCCATGTATTCTCTCCATACCGGCTAACTGGAAAACATTCTTCCTGAAACCTGGGTACCTCTAAGGAACAGCATGAACGAGCAGCCGACCAGCTAAATGAAGGGAAAGAGACGTTTCTTCAGGATGTAGAGGACGGTGGCAAAGAAGAGGGCCAGAGCCAGGAAGATAAGCAGCTTGTCCGTCAGCTCCCGCCGGTTGTACTTGAGAATCAGTTTCCTTCCCAGGTGGATGGTTCCTGTCATGTTTCTAAACTCCTCGTTGGTTTCCTGCACCGTCCTAGAGGAGGTGGCTGTGGTGAGGAAGAGGAGAATCAAAAGAAGGGTAAGTAAATGCTGATGGGAGATGAAAACATACACAAACTGTAACACTGACAAAAGTACACATGGACAAAGTAGAGGTTTTTTTTTTACCCAGTGTGCCGATGCTGTCCTCGCTCTGCTGCACCTGTTCAGACATCATCCTGCTGATAGACATCAGACTCTCTGTGATGTTGCTGCTGGTTTCCACTAGGCTTTCTTTGGTCGCCTTCCTGAGACAAAAACACACACACAAAGCATGGGTGATGCATGGGTGCTATTTTCCAATTTAATATAGTGTGTTTTACACTCAGTTGTTTAATTTGTTGTACAAGTGGAAGATGGTGTTTCTCCTGGAATAGTTTCTGTTGAGAGCTTCCTGTTTTTACAGGCAGAGCAAAGCCTCAATTAGCAACTGTTTCAGTTTTTGGATTAAACCATCACAATGTACCAGAAACTAAAGTGTTATCTTAAAATCACTGACGAAAGCCACATTCAGTAGGATTAATATTACAGGGGGAGGTAATAACCACTGGCAAACTACTGGAGCTGGTTCTGAAACAGACAAAGATAAGATATGCTGCAGCGAAACCATCAGAGCTTCATTACTGGCGGACACTGTATTATTTTGAATGCTACAATGATTTACCATACCGTGATGATTTAGCTGTAATTAAAAGGACCAATGTGTAGGATTTAGTGGCATCTAGCCGTGAAGTTGTAGACTGCAACCAAATTAATACAGCTCGCTTTCCAAGCCTATTCAATATACAGTGCTATGAAACTCACTCCCTCGTCATTTCAGCACCACTGTAGAGCCTCAGCTGTATTATACTAACCTCTGTCTGGTACTCTGGTTATCTCCTCCACGCAGCAGCTCGTCCTTCTCCACGTTGTCTATCGCTAGTTTACAAGCCAGGTTAGATTTTCTCCACGCTGTCTGGTTACTGGAATCCACAGAAAAGATAACACACACAAACAAACATCAAGTTTTCTGGATTTAATCTGATGTGTTGTATGTGAATCTATATTTTGTACATGCTGTTTAACCCTATGAATCCCAATTTACTACTTGCATTTACCTGCCTCTCAAAGAATTAGCTAGGAAAATTAGCTCCAGATGTGGATGTACTGCACATTTTCTTTTTCCGGATAAGTTAAAACTCTGTAGGTGTCAAATATGATGCTCATCACAGAAAAGAAATCCAACAAATCTGTGTTTTTTTGGTGCAACACCAAACCGCAACTTAAGTCACATCACGTCACCTTTCTGAGGGTCAACACCTACAATGTCATAAACATAATAAATTACAGGCTTTTGCAGCCTCGAACCCACTTCAGGGTTTATAATGTGAATAAAGTCAATGATTGCTGCCATACAGGCTAGTTTTTGTCTGTGTGCATGTCGACCCACCTCATCATTTGCCTTCGCTGGCTCTCTGTCTCTGCCTGGATGGCCAGTCTGTCCGTCTCTCTGTCCTGCTCTCTGGCCATCTGTTCCAGATCCTGACAACAATAGCAATAACAACAACAACACATCAAAATAAACCGGCTTCAGATTTTAAACAAGAAATCTGTCAGATGCAACACGGTGTGCATCAAGTGTGAGGACCGACCTGTATCCTGAGTCTGAGTTTGCAGAACCTGTCTTTGACCTGAGAGTTGAGCTCCATGAGAGTTGACTGAGGTCCGGGGCAATCCCTGATGTCCTGCAGGTAACACACACACACACACACACACACACACACACACACACACACACACACAGTGTATTTATGGTTATATACGTTTGATCAAGGTCCTTTGGGGTCTGTCTGAGCAAAACACTTAAAACACAACACTGAAAATAAATACAGAATCATACTGTGGCATTATGCACTGAGCATACGCTTGTTAAATCAGTAAACAAATCAAATATTAAATAAATAAAATGCATTTTATTGTAAGTTATATGTATATAATCTGGTGGTGACCCATGTTCACATGCAGAGTAGGACTGATGATTGTTTAATTAAAAATTAAAATAAATAAAATAGAAATGGAGGAACAATAATTTTCATTTGCATGACAACTGTATGTTTTTGTACAACTACTGCTCCTCCCAGTAAAATATATATATATATATATATATATATATATATATATTTTAAAACATTGTTCTTAAATGTATTTGCGACAACTTTTGTTTATAAAACGTGAAATGAATGGATCACACGTCTTATTATATTTAAAATGTAGTTATATTTATGTATATATTATGTTTAAAACAAATTTTAAAAAATAGCCATTTACATTATCATTACATTATATTACTTTTATCTAGTAATCATCTACCCAAAGTTACTTATATAATATATGTTCTGTAAATATTTTCAAATATTTTAATGCAAAATATTCAACTAACTTATTTATGGATTCGTCTACATTGTCAATTAATCGTTAGGTCAATAAAATGTCAGACTATAGTACAAAAAAACTCTTCTAATCATAATCATGAACAGCTCTTGCTTCCTTATTTAAAGTTTTTTTCTAACCAAAATCCAAAGATAATAAGTTTATTGTAAAAGAAAACTAAGAAAACCAGCAAACATTAACAATTGAGGAGCTGGAACTAGTCATTTTTAGCTATTTTTTTATTTTTATTATTTTTTCTTATAATATTTGTGTAACTGATGATAACAGATCAGACCGTCAGCAGTAACTGGAGGAAATAAAGTTAAACAAAGTCATTATCCCCATAATGAACGTTTCCTCCTTTAAAGGTCTTTTAGAGGTTTAATTGTTCGCTGTGTCAGACCTGTGTGATGCCTTCACGGACCCCTCCAGCGCAGATCAGACACCAGCATGAGGAAGGGAAAAACTAATTAATACACAAAACATATTTTTTCTATTCTTACCTGAATGAGAGCCTTAATTTCCAGGTCATATTTTATAATTTCTTGTCCACAAATTCGGACGTGGACATCCGCAGCAGACGCCATATTTGTTTTTGTATGGCAACCCTGGAGGCCCAAAAGACAACGCGCTCTGCTAAAGGCGAGGGTTGCGACTGTCAGAATAAAAGCCTTATTATGTTAACATATGATAGACTAATTATTAATTTTAAAATAGAATTCGTTCATTTTTAAATGTATGTTTTGTTCGTTGTTGATCTTTGTTTATTATTTGTATGTATCTTTATTTTGTTACTGCTGTTTTGTTTTGCTTGTTAGACATTAATGTCAGTTTCCTGTTTTGTGCTATTGGGAACGTTTTATGACAGTGGGGTAAGGGGGTGGGCCACAATGTGTGAGAAAACTAAGAAACAAAAAAATAAATAGCATAAAATCTCTCCTCAGATCAATTTAAATACATCTTTAACACGTTTTTTTCATTAAAATATGTATGTCTATAGTTTTATAGGGGGGAAAAAACAAAATAGGTGACCTGAAATCAAACTAAATATGTTTTTATACAAAGGACCGACACCAGAATTTAAATTAAGCTCCGTGTCTCAACCTGACAACACAATGAGTTATCAGGTTAACTTGATTTAAAATGGTCAAAAAGCAGTGTTTCACAGAAAGTGCTACAAGTACTAATAAAAGAGCACCTGCTACTTACATCTACCAACTAACTTAAAAACCTGACGTTCATGCCTTTTTACTTCCCTCTCTTCACAAAGGTCAGAGGTCAGATCAGCTAGAAATTAAAGAAAGAACCACAATTTTGAAGCTAAATAGTACTATATGGTACCTCTAATTGTTCTGTATAGCACTAAAAGGGGTTCCCCTGTGATTACGAGCCAACAAACCACTTTTTGTGCTCTTTAGCACCATTTTTGTGTGTGCTTATCAATACAATACAATCATAATGCTCCTGCCAGCGCGGTCGGCTACACTGCAGCCGGAGACTCACATTGTTCCTGTGTTCAGTCACACGATCCAACACATTCCCATTCCCTTCTTTGACTTTGAACACAACTTTGGACTAATTCCTTGGACCGCTTTCTCGGAATTAAATAGTGACGTGGATGGGTGCCAAATGTTTTGTTTATCCTCAGTTGCTTTTGAGATTGTTTGTGTAAAATTGTGGTTTACTTTGGCTTAATTATTTCACTCAAATGGTTATAAGATCAAACTAATATTAATACTTAATATGTGTCCATATTTCCCTTGTGACGAATATAAAGTGCTAAAAACCCATTGAAGACTGAATTGAAACTGAAATACTGTATGGCCATGTTTTGTCATTTATAATTACTTTATTTATTTATGTTTATTATTTTCCTGGTTTTGTACTGTAGCGCTGTCATCAGTGTAATCGTACTTCTGAACCCGTTATCCAGTATGCTGATATGTCACCTTTAATTCTTGCTGCTTATTTTATATATATTATTAATATTATCATATTATTCTTTACAGTAAGTACAATAAGTCGGTGGAGCCACCCCACGTAGTGGGGCTGCTTGGGTTCAAGTCCAACCTGCGGCCCTTTGCTGCATGTCTTACCCTCTCTTTCCCCCCCATTTCTTGTCTCTTTTCAACTGTCTCTGTACATTAAGCTTGAAAAAAAATAACATTTAAACACATTAAATTTCAGGTATAATATCCCACAGACCAACAACAGTGAACTGATCCTACTAACAACTACTGTCTGTTCCTCTGTCCCATAGACCGTCACTGTTATCCAAGAAACATCACACTGGGTGAAGATGAGCACTGTAGCTTATGTTAAATCAATCCCACACAAAACATCATGGTGAAGTAAATACTTACTAAAGCACCAAATTATACTAAAGTAAATCTTATTTGCTTCTGTTTTTCCAACCATTGTTTTCCAGTAGGAACAAACTGATTTGGGGCTGCTTGTTACAGACAGTCAGACAGTATTGAGGAACAGATTAACACTTTGTTGGTTTGGGTCTTTTCACAGGATTTGTTGGATCACAGCAAACCAACCTGCATAGATCGCTCAGCAGCTGGTTCTCCTCAGGTGGATAAAGACTATGTGACTGTCTCAGTAACCCTGCTTCTCACAAAAGACTTAACAGGAGAGTTTCATCTTATTTTCTAAAACTGGATTAATCTCCAATAGTGTGAATCACACATTAAAAGGTATAATCACACAGTTACATCAACCAATCAAACATAGAAGAGTCAGGATGGGGTGCTAATGGTTTTATTATTTTGATATTAAAATCAATAAACATAATCAGACTATTGTGGTTACAAGCAGAGCTGTGGTACCAACTCCCGGCTGATACGACACAGAAAGAATGATTTAAAAAAAAAAAAGAAAATAAGAAAGAAAGAAAGAAAAAGAGAGAGGCACAATAACACAACAGAGATTCAGGGCAGGTGTCCGCAGGATGTCGAGCAGCCAGAGACAAAAACTGTCAGAAGCTCTGAAACAGAATGAGTTGTTACAGTACAAACAAAAAAACAAAAACATCTTTTAGATTTCCATGCCTGTGCATAAAGCCACCCACTGTGCCTCGAAGAAAGAAAAAAAAAATACAATGTAAAACGAAAAGAAAAAGTTAGATAAAACAAAAAGTACAAACCCAGCACAACATTTATTACACAACATAAATATAACAACTGTCAAGATATTGTATTCGAACAGGCATATATGTGAACTACAAATATAGACGTCATTGCTAAAGAGAGGATCAAGTTAGTTTCAGCAGGATACACTTTCTGCAGGTTTTGCTTCTTTATGAAATTATAATCACCAAGAGATCTATTGTAGAGCACTTAGCAATGAAGTACAGCCTTCCTACTGAGACTGGGGAGAGGAACACACACAGGACTAACTACAGAAAGATCCCATGCTGTTGATCTAATCAAATAAGTTACCATACAAGACCAGAAGCATCATAACAATGGCATGTAGCTGTGGAGCTCAGGATGACCGATACCTCCCACATCCTCTACATGTTTGGACTTGTATGGATTTCCTATAAAATTGTCTGTTACTGTTTGTTGTTATTATCAAAATTGAAAGAAAGAAAAAAAAAAAAGAAGCAGAATAGATGCTTTAGGATAAACATTTTTCTTGTTAAATGTCTCTCGCTCCATGCATTTTGGCAAGTCTGGAGGGAGATGTAAATCATTGCAGTGTTGGATGAGTTGGACATGTGTAGATTTGGAAAGAGGATTTTTTTTTTTTTTAGTTTTTGTCATTTTCTGCAGAAGAGTCAGTCTGCAGAAGAGGAAACGAATCCCCCCTCGTCATTCTTTGCAGGGAAGGGGGAGGGGTCTCTGCCCACCAGCCTTTAGTGACCCCTGGCTAATCTCAGGAACTCCCTGACAAGACAACTGCGAACCAAAGCCCTTCTGAAACATAAAAAAAGCACCCAGAAGGGGGCAAAACATCCCTGGCGCAGTGAAGTTTTCCCAGAAAACTGAGCAAATTTTTTCAAAATTCACCCACCAAAGTTAGAGAGAGAAGGCAAGCCAACTCCTAACCTGAGCTCCGAGGCCATGGAGCACCTGATCCTCAGTCCAGAGTCTTGACAAAAGAAGAGTTGTGTCAAGGCGAGGTGCTCCGCAGACTCAATGAGCCCGGAGCCTGAAACCTCCAATGACAGAACCCTTCATGGGCTTCACAGACGACGATGGCTCAAAGTCACAATGAAGCTGCAGAAAAAGTATAAAGTAATAAGATACTGAAGAACAGGAAGGTAAAAACAGACAGAAATAACTACAGCCACTATGTGTCATATTTTCGAGTGTATCATCTTTTAAATGTTTTTTTTTTAATGGAAAATTGTATTTTTTTTAATGGATGAATCTGGTGAAAAAGTCTACGTGTTACTTTCAGAAGATTAATCCACACAAATCTGTAAATATCTCCCTTCACACTAGAGAAAATGACTAAATCCCTTGTTCATTTTTGCTCTTTGTGTGAATCACAGCCAACAACTGGAGTCTCACAACTTCAGGAAGTCACTGCCCCGTGCCAAGAAATAGTCTGGCGCATTAACCTCTGCCAAATGATTTGTTTCTACAGTTTTATTTTGTGCTAATTAAACAAATAAAACAATATATAACATGTTCATCAGTGAGCTTTAGAGGTACTGGTAGGTGGATGCTGTTGAACTTTGGACAGTCAGGCTTGTTGTTTCCCCTTTTTCCAGTATTTGTGCTAAGCTAACCAGCTGCTGACTGTAGCGTCATATTTAAAGTACAGATATGATTGATGTTCTCATCCAACTCTCAGCTAGAAAACGAGTAAGCGCATTTACTAAAATGGTCAAATTTTATATTCCTCTGAGGACAAGAGACAGTGCTGTCTTTGATGTGTGTCGTTAGCAGAAGTAACACGGGTCATATCCATTTTAATTTCTGCACTCTTCTTTTTATTTGAAATTCTTTTGTTTTAGTTGGTTTCTACTTTACTAATCTGACTTTTTATTGTCAAACAACATTGTCTTACAATCTGTTTATTGGTGGGTTCTTTACTGTTTAATTCATATTTAATTAATGATTGTCTTTTTAACCATTTATATCTCCAGAACGCAGAGGCAGGATTGTACAAAAATAGTATTTATGGTACTTGATGAGGCAATATGACACCTATAAGTAAATAATTTATGTACATTTATGTAAAATTAAATGTAAATAAAAAAATATGTAAGAAAAGTAATTTCTGGTTTCATTGTGACTTTGATTCATGCCTGTGAAGTCTCTGACTCCGGGTAAAGCCTGCTTCAGTGGAAAGCTATAAAGTCTAGTTTCAACAAATTGTCTGCTTACATGTTAATTTATAGGACGAAACAAATAAATATCATATAAATGGTATAAACACTGGGATCAGGGAAAAAGGCATTCAAATATAATTTAGGAAAAGAAAATTCAAACGTGCAAACTTTTGACAGAGTCAGAGCATAAATATCAAACCATAATATTACTTTAAAAAATAAAAAAAAGGTTTAAACACATAAGCAGGACAGCGGCCATTAAAGATACAACATTCATGATCTTTCTGGATCCTGACGACAAGAGTCTCCCTCTGTGTTCCAAACAATGTCTAACAGGAAGCAGAACAACAGGAAAAAAGCTCCACCAGACACTCACATCTGTCTGTATGATCCTGCTGAGGAAGACTAGTCTACATTCATCAGCAAAGCAGCAGCAGCAGAGTTATACCTCGCTATGTCAGCATACAGCAGTGCAGCAGTCAGAAACACGAGATTGACCAGAGTCATCAACAGAAGGAATAATATGGCTAATACAGCTTATTTTAACACAGCCATGTTAGCACCCAGCCACAGACAGATTAGCACCACAGTTTACCTCCATGCTCAGTTTGTCGCTTCATTCGCAACCAGCGACTCAGTGCCAACACTGACTTCAAGGAGGGTCTGGCACTTCATATTAGCAAAGTTAAGAAACGGAAATGTTCTGTTTTATGCTTTTTTGTTTTTGTTTTTTTTGTTTTTTCTTTCTCAAAAAGGTCAAGAGGCAGCAACACAGTGCTCCATGTCAAAACCACTGAAGAAGAAGAAGAATACATTGTAATTGACAAGGTAAAAAGCAGGCCCAGGTCTCCCTCTGCCTCAGACACAGTGGAAGTTTGCTCTTCTCTACACGGACACACCAGCGGTGATAGCAGCAGCAGCCAATACAGAAAACACAATAACGTGGCGTAGTGGGCAGAGAAAGAGTTAAAAACAGAACCAGGTTTCCCAAAACAGCATCAATTCAGTTCACAAGTTGTCATTTATGCTCTTCTTAAGTAATGCTTTAAAAGGGAAATTCTTTCTGTCCATACATGACAAACTTATCGGCTGTTAAAGGCGGATTCTTGTACAAAAAAGCATTTATTTGGGGTTTAAAATGAGGTTTACATTTCATTTAGGTACTTTATGTTTTGGGAAACCCAGCCCCTTGTTTCTGTAGGGAAACCCCCTCCAGACTGACAGAAGGTGCAGATTTGTGTTCTCATATATTTGATTAAGGCACCTGGTTCAGCAGGCATCATATTCAAAGTATTGTTATTTTTTTCTCCTTGTAAATGTAAAAACCAAGTGCAAGTTGAGTAACACTGTTGGTTTTTTTTCCGACTGTTGTAGGAAAAAGGTGTGGAATAAAACAAACGGGGTGTGTGTTAACAATATACTGTTAATTGTGTCGTGGACACTCTAAACCAAAAATCGAAAATCTGTTTGTGCTCATTTAATAGCAGCAAGTATGAAATCATTCAACTGAGAGTACAGTGACCAAACTTTGTGACGATGGAGACACTTTCTGATGATTGGCCAAATTATTTCCCAATCTACGAAGAACTCCAGACGTCACTTGATTCTCTCAGTGCTATGCGGGGAATCGGCATGCAGAAAACATCATTCCCACTGCATTTCAGTACATTTCTGTATGTATCTAGTTTACACAGGGAAAAGTGTGGAGGGTGGTAAGCATACAGCCTCTGAAGATGAGGTGTATTTACAAGCGAGGGGGGGCAGCCCACATGGGTTCAAACAAGACAGGAAACAATTTAAATGCCTCAAAAGAAGCTCAAAGGCAGACTCTGAGATCTGACATCACGGCCAACAGGAGGTCATTTCTATTTATTTAAAAAACCCAATTTATTGAGACAAGAATATTCTTATCTTTCAATTACATCATTTGCAAACAAACCGCTAAGAAGTTTCTTGGAAACAACTATGGTCTGTATTTTGGTAAAAAAAATCATAGGGAAAATAGGAATATGCTTGAACTGCTCCGTTACAGCTACAACAATCTGCAAACGCAACACTGACATACTTTCACTTATAAAGACGTTAGCATTCGTTTGGAGTCTTGTTTTGTCCAATAGTCACTCTTCTTCTAGCTCTGTTTTTGGTCTCCACCAGCTCCTGTGAGTAAATGCTCCACTGGGTTCACCAACTAGTTTCTAACTGTGTCTGTCTGCCGTTGGTGCTGCACGGCTAGTGCACAGTGGGGTTAGTTTTAGAGCTTGTTCCTAGAAAACAACTGCCTGTTGTTGAGTCATTAGACTGAACCGAAACAGTAAAAATGGCGGCCACAAAGAGCTGAAAGATGCTAAAACGCTCAGTAGAGCTGAGGGGAACTGCAAAGTCTTACTTAATTCTGTGTGTTCATTACACCGAGCAGCACCTTTCACTTTACATGCAGTGAATTTATCATTTTTTATACAGAATATTGATAAGTGCAGCTTTAAACCTAAATAAATAAATAAAGTAAGTAAATAGTTGTTCTCCATAAATGTGAATTATATGTTTGCTTGTAGACAAATTTCAATTTTTTGGCATCTTCAGCTGACCTGTTTAGTACAGATTAAAAATACAATTGATTAACTGGAAGTGTATCATTATTATCAATTTCCCCTTTTTTGCTATTAATTGCATAATTCTTTCAAGGAAACTTCTTGGAAATTATTCCAAAATTACAGAAACAATAAACAAAGCACTGCAGAGTATTTCCTCTTGAGATAGCTCTTGAATACACAAGATTAATTTAAACCAATATGTTGCATTGCAATCAAATTATTTCTTCGCGTTAACATCATGAGGAAACTCCACTTGGTATTTAAATCAATATAACACCACCAATTATGTGTATTTATTTAGCAGTTCTGGGGAATATTTTGTACCTCTCAAATGGAATGAAGATCATCTTTGAGTTTGGGCAGTGGTATCAAATCCAAGAGTCTGACTTTTACAAAATAAATAACGGTATGCTCAATAATAATGATCATACAGATCAATAATACAGAAATCACAATTGTTTTGTTGTTTAGAGCAAGAATCAGTGTGAGAATCTTCCTCTGATTGGTCCAACAGGGAGGTCTGGTCTGATGAGAGTTATTGGGAACAATAACCAAATGAAATGGTTATTTGTGAGTATATTTGAATGCAAATGCCATTTTAATTCATGGATTTATTTCTGGGATAGTGGATAGTTATCAGCACCATGTGACAAACCCGAAGTTGGATCACGGCTGGAAATCAGAGTCAGATCCTTTCGTGAGAGGAGAATGTTGTATGTATGTTGTCGTATGTTCGAACGCCGATTTGGAGAATCTTTGTGAATTCTTTGTGACAAGTCTGTTGGCCTTTTGTTTTCAGTTTGTGTAGAGCATTGCACTATATTGATTGACATTGATAATTCATAACACACACACACACACACACGCACGCACGCACGCACACACAAAATATTTGTACAGAGTAAAGAATGGCGACAATAATTGGAATACATAAATATATTTTCTTTTGATTTTATATGTCATCACATATGTCAGATAGAAGAACGATATTACCCTGATTTGCTGAAGAAGAGCTTTATGGAACCACTTAGCTTTTATTGGACAAGAGTAGCACAAAGTTACACACTCTATTAGCTTAATAGTTGACTGTATAGGATTTATGTCATCAGAAATAAAAAAGAATAAGGAATAGTTTTACTGGCGTGGATTTTCACTCACTCCTTGACTGTTAAAATGCCACAGAGTCTCCTGGTTTGAATGTAAAGTTGCACAGCTTGCGCCTATCATGTTAAATGTAAAAACCTGTGAGGACTCTTTCTTGAACCAGCCTTGTGATCGACAACAAAACACACACACTTCTCTTGTCGGCCGCACCGCTGAGCCGATCTACGGTCCATCAACCAGCGGCCCTTTAACCACTGTTGACCCCCTAACAGACCTGGGCAAAACTGTAGCTGAAAAAATGCTTCAAATATTGTCCCAAAAGACACAGCTGAGTACAAGTAGTTCAAATCTTTGAAGCCATTCTTCAGACATATTTCACCACGTCTGTTTCTTCAGTCAAGGTTGTTTTGAGCTAATCAGGCTGATGGTTTTGTTGTTGTTGTTGTTGTTGTTGTTGACCGTATATTGGCAACAATGTCAGAAACCATCGGGCAGACCCCTTTGGAAACTGACACGTTGTTGCCATGTTATTTTTGTTTGTGTGTATGTGACAAGTTATTTAAGAAGGCAATAAGTGTCCGGATTGAGTCTCCATTTGTAATTGGCTTGCCATACAGTACAGTGATATAGTAACTTCCCCCAAGGCGGCCCGGAACAACATCTTTCAAACGGGCTCTTCCTGGCCGCCCCAGGCTAAACCCCTCCTCATTAAGTCACAAGTAGAAATCAGTTTACAAATGATAACAATATAGCTCTCTGGAGAAATGTGTCTACACTGTACATCACCCTGAAGAGGAAGCCAAAGCAGAATCAGTTTTTCCATAGGAAACCTCTACTGAAGGCAAATGAATCATGACGCCAAGGGGGTCAGCATCAGGATCAATGTAGGGGCCCTGGAATCAAAACCCTCTTTTTTTTTTAAGACCACAAACACCCTATCCCCTGACCAGGAAATATACCTATCCTGTCAAGACACTGGGCTTCCCAAAGCCAAGCAATGATACGCTCTCAGACAACACCTCATATCATCACATGGCTCCAGAAACATGTAGATCGAACCCTCGCCAGGCCGTACACCTATTCCTCGCTAGTTTATAGACCTAGACAAGTCAGGTAATAGACCTATTCTAGCAAGTAGTCGTCAAGTACACTTGCAGCATTCACACCAGGCCTTTTTAGCAGCAAATGGAAGAAAAAAAATGCTTTTCTTTTCTTTTTGTTTTGTTTTTTTTTTTTTTTTTTTTTCCTTTTTTGGACAAAGTGCTTTTGTTTTCAAACATATAAGATAGAGTATTCTATACATATATCTAACATTTAGAAGATACATATTAACTTATAGTCTATTTACAAAAATGAATCACTACTAAGAAAATAGCTATGGACGGTAGGGGAGAGCAAGTCATTAGGCTACAACTAGACTAAAAAGTCAAATAAGAATCATGGATACTCATCATTCTAGTTTCAGAAAAAAGCACCATTTCTCCCTTTTTAGACGGAACAGAAAACAGTAAAAATATATATATATATATTTAGCACTAGCTGTTATTCAATCACACGATACAGAAAGACCACAGCTCTGCATCACCATCATCAGACATCAGAGTTCATTCTGTGAAGGAGTACTTTCTGAATTCAGCCTTGTCAAAACATGCAGTCGTTTGGATTTTACCTGCTAATCGAACAAATTCTGGTCGAATCTCAAAATTCCTAAGAATGGCAGCAGCGGGGAGGCAAGCATACAGGCATCATGCATTACTTTTTTTTTTAAAGGTTGGACACGTTGCCAATTTGTTGCCTGGACATTGTAAATGTGTGTGTGTGTGTTTTGGTAAACAAAGTCATGTCTTTGCAGCTGTGACGAGTCCGGAAGGGTGTAAAGGACCGAAAGCAAGGCCAGGCAGATTAAATTCAGCAATGCAACCTCAAAAGGCAGCAATGCCAATCCCAAGAAATTCAAAATTCAACCGACTTCAATTCGACAGGTTTAAGAGGGAATACACGTGAAAAATCTATCTAACGATGCACAGTGCTGAATCCAGATCATCTGGGACAAAAATATGATGGCTTTGGCTTTCTTACAGCATCTGTTAAAACACTGCAGCTGGTTCCTCATCTGCCCTCACATTCTCCACGCTGTTGTCCTCTGAGTGTCTCGCTTTCCTGGACACGTCCCTGTCCTCGCTACAGACAGCATGTCCTCATTCTCTTTATAGAGCATTCAAACTAGACCATGGCTTTACTGCATTATGTTTTAAATAAATCCAGTCCTGATTCTCTGTCATTTAACTCCAAGGAGACCAGAGGGGTAAAGTGTCGGTTTATATATCAAACTATCGGATTTGACTGGCTGCTCGTTAAGACCTTTTTCCTCTTTTCCTCCACATCTCCTTGTCTCCACTTGGAGAATCTGATCAACAAATACTTCCAAACCAATAGGAAAGCTTGCAGGCAGCTAAAGTACAAAAATATAACAAGAACCTTTTTTTTTGGTTTTTGTGTTTTTTCCTCTAACTTTCTCGATGCAAGGATAGGCTTTAGAAATGTGTCATGCTTAAAAATGAATCAATTGTCATGAAAAGTGGCATTTCACCATTGATAGATATTTCTATATACAGTACTTTAAAACACAATTTAGTTAATATTTTGTTGATGAACTAGACCTCGTCTACATACAGAAATCAAGTGACACAAGAACAAAACATTTTGGTTATTGTTGGTGACATTTTGACAAACAAGCAAAAATGTAACATAGCTTATCTACTAGCGCTCTTGGTTTTTTGTCCTAGATAGCGCCATTAACATAATTAGCATGTGGAGGGAGGAATCAGTCCAGGAATGAAGTGCTTGCTAAGCAACAAATCTACTGGAGAAGCCCATAGATGGGGTTAATTTTTCCGTAAAAAAAAAAAAAGGAAGAAAGAAAATGAATGAATGTTCCTTTTCTGTACAGAATTGGACCCAAGCTAATTTCACAGTTCAATGAAGTTCCCTGACCCTCCCACATTTCTTACATTCAATACGGCGTCAGGTAAGCTGTGCAAAACCTTACTTTAACTGGCTGGTCGCCATTTCGTTGCATGTGTCTTTGGTACAAAAAACAATCAAAATATAGTGTGCAAATATTTTTTTGTAACTCTAAACGAAAAATATCTGTTACCCCACCCCCAAAATCCCTAAAGACAAGAGTACCAAAAACCAAAAGTAATCTATTGCAGAGCCCTCCTATATACACAGACTCTGTGGCATCACGCAACGAGAGCTTCCATTTCTTTTATGTACATTCAGAATATCTTTAGACAACTGAAATACACAACATACTCCCCCACGTGTCACCCTCCTCACATTCACTAACTATCTCCCTCAGTGTAAAGTAGTCCTTTCCTTGGCTGGACCTCAGGGAGTTCAGACCAATCACCTCTTCTCATTCAGTCCCTCCCTCTCTCTCCCTCTCTCTCTCTCTCTCTCTCTCACACACACACACACACACACACACACACACACACACACACACACACACACACACACACACTCACTCACTCACTCACTCACTCACTCAGACCTACAGAAACACACACATACATACACAAGGCACAATGAATAGAACTCTGATCAAACACTAGTATGAACACACCAAACTGTTAGCCTGGTCATCTCTACTGTACAAAAAGGGTAGCCGGTGCCGTTTTTCACTGGGAGACACGTTTATGTACAGTTTCCTAGAGGAGATGGATCACTGTTTATATCATCTTCAACATCACCACCATCATCTTCCTCACAATCCGCTACCATACTGGCAAAATGCCCCGTTTCACCCAGTCCAGTTATAACCAGCACAAGGCCAAAAAGCACCAAACTACATGCACTTCCTCTCCGCATGGTCAACTATTTCCTGTTGTTTAAGTTAACGTCGTCAGGATTAAGCCATTAAGCTTCCTCCTGCCCGTAGAAAACTTCAACCCAGCAGGATGTCTGTCGCTTAATCATTAAAGTCTCATTTAAGTCTCATTCAAACTTTCAGCTTCTACTACTTTTTTGTTTTGAGCTTTAATTTGCTAAAAGTTAACTCCTATATTTTAACACCAGCTGACCTGATTGGCAAACATGGGATGGCATGAACATATTGAGGCCTTCAATACAAAATATTTCCTGCCACCCCGAAAACGCCTCGGAGCATGCCGCTTTTTTTTTTCTCTGCAGCTGTTTTGGCAACCAAAGCAGTTTTTTTATCGAAGTACTTTACTTGTGTGGGTCAATTTCACATCCTGGAGTTGTTGTTTTTTGTTGCCATGTGAGGTAAACCTCTTGTAGGAAATGATAACTGGAACTTTTTCAACCTTTGATGGTGTCAGACGTGTAACAATTCTTCCTCTGTCGTTTCAACCTCAAAAAAATTGTGTGAAAGTATTCCAGTGGTTACACTCGTGTGACTGTCTCCATCTCAGCCCTAGAAGCAGATCTTCAACAGAACCGACCCTACACAATGCTATGTTAAACACATCTAATAATCACCAGTGGATTTAGAACGTGCTATTAGCTGTACACCTAACCATCCCTTGCTTTTAGAGGCGCTTTTCCCAACATACGCTCACAATGGGTTGGGAGACAGTGACGCACTGACTCGCACGGTGTGCAGAGACAGAAAGCTAGGGTGTACGCCATACAGGTGCATGGCTAAAACAAGCACACATACATACACACAGGGAGTGGTATGTGTGTTTGTGTGACTAACAATGTGTATGTACTCTGGGTTGGAGGGGCATGCAGAGGGGAGCATAGTTACAATGGGACAGCACGGTGGTATTATTTGGTCCACTCCTTTCAGTGGATTGCGGTTTGTCTAGATTTTGGAGGTGGGGACTCGCAGGCCGACCAGTCCGCCGGTGGGATCGCCGCGCCCTGTGTTATCCAAGATCTTGTTGACGAAGTCCGAAGTCTGCCCAGCAACAGGTGATGCCACTGCAAGAACAGAGACACACAAAGAGACATTCACATTACTTGTCTAAAGCAAATATATGAATTTAGACTTTAAATATACTTTATTAGTGTCATTAACCTGCCTGAATAACATTTTAAACAGATTGGGTTTTTTTTTTTTCAGATAAATGGGCCACTATATATATTTATATATATAGTATATATATATTTTAAGGATATGATATCCTTAAAAAATTTATTCATTTCCTCTATATTATTTTCTGATTTGTATCATTGTTCATAATATGACGGATTATCTTCTCTGGGTTGATGATAATTGACTGATTTGTTGTCTTATTTGTTGTCATCTGCTTTTTTAAACTACTTTGAAGTTTAATTTAGCTCAGTTTAGATTATGTTGAATCTTATTTTGAATAATATCATATCTAAATCTTAGTTTCATAATATAACCAACATTTAAAATTCTGACTGCATTTTTTCCCTCTGAAAATCTTTTTTTCTGTATATAATAGGATTTAATTAACTCTTCTCTAAGACCACATTTAAAGTTTCCCACACAGTAAAAAAAAATTGTCATAAAGTCCCTATTTGCTTCCCTTACAAGATGGATATACTGTATTATTTGATATATAATCTTCAAATAAAGAGCTGATAACCTTCCAGTGTTTAACCCTTGAGGCACCTTTAAAATGAACATACAAGTTTTAACCTTCATAAAAGTGTAATAAAAATGTCATATATAAATATTTTTTTTCACTTTCACCACATCAAATCTTTTCAGCAACTTCAGACCTAACCATAGATTTTTTTTTAAAAATGTACAATGTTTTTTGCCCGTTGTGTCATAAAAACACCTGATTTTCTCAATGGAAAAAGACTAAATATGAATATTTTCCAAAAATGAGGTGCAAAGTGGAATATTTGGGATGAGCCTTGACTAGGTAAATAATTGATAACAACATTGATTTGGATGCATTATTAGTTTGGGAGCAATGATAGTTTATTCGAAAAAAAACTTTTTAACCTTGGGACCCAAAATGGTCGCTCATAAAAGTGTAATAAAAAGGTCATATATAAATTTTTTTTTTCACTTTCACCGCATCAAATTTTTTCAACAACTTCAGACCTAACCATAGATATAAAGTTTTTACTATATTTCTTATGTTTTTGTGCCCTTTTTGTCATAAGATGTCATGTGTATTGTCATGTGCGTGTGTTCACAATTCAAGGCATAAACCACTGATTTGATGTGCATTTTACATGCATGTGCTCAACATTTGGCGCACTTTTGTCCACACCCTTCTGCACTGTGGGCACAAGACACACTGCCTCTGCTTTCTGGAGGGCCCTGGCTGTGGCTCCTCCTCCTCCTCTTCCTCCTCCTGACCATGGACCTGGCCCCAGGCTTGTAGGACCAGGCTGGCTGCAGACGGTCCTCTGGGCAAATGGCAGGGACTCTTCATGTGTGGGAGACCACAGGATTTCCCCATTTTTTGGTCTCCATGGAGAGGTGTCATCCTCCATTGCCTCTTCCTCTTCTTCCTCCTCCTCCTCTTCCTCCACTGAGCTGCAGTGCCCTGGCAGGAACCTGGCTGTAGTATAGCCTCCTGCAACCCTGCGTCCTCATATGGGGACACAGTTTTATAGTAAAAAAAGTCCTGATGTCCTCATAAGAGCTTGTTTTTTATGTGCTTGTTTTTGTTCTCCCTCTCTCTCTCTCTCTCTCTTTCTCACACACACCTACACACACACACTTTTATGGTGCATTTTGCAAGGTAAGAGAACCAGGCCTCCATTGAAACTTTATGTGATGAAGCTTTGCTGCCCCTGGTGGTTTGGGGGGGGGGACCCTGTATTTTGAAGGTAGTGGCTTAGATTTATTAGGTATTCATGGGAAAAGCATTATAGTATGTCAGGATTACAGTGTATCAAAAATATGTGGTTATAATGGGAGTCAATGTGTCCAAGTCGGGCCCGAGGTGAAAGGGTGTAGGTGTAGATGCGAATCTTCTATCCTATACAACTTACAATAGAGGGGATCATGGAATTTTAAAAATAATAATAAAAAACAAATCCTGGCCAAGTTTCATACAATTAGCCTTTAAACTGACCGATATATTGAGAATCAAACAAATCAAAAAGGCAGAATGTACATGTTTGGTCCCCTAAGGTGCCTCAAAGGTTAAATAGCCTCGATGGGAAGCTGAAGACTATTTGAACTAGACAACAGTTGACAATAACCACTGGGTGTACTAAACTGTCATATTTACAGAGGCAGTTAGTTGAAATGATACTAATCATTTAAATTAAATGGTATTTTTTAATCATCTTTCAAAACGTATTGTTAATTAAAATGTCTGTTTCGTGTGACCAGTGAGCTGTAAATTATTCTCACCAAGTGTCTCCTGGATGAGATGCTCCAGAGTGTCAGTCATGTTGGTTGGACGCGGAGAAGAGTCCTCCACTCGGGCCACGATCTCCTCCTTAATGGTATTGATCACAAACAGCAGCCGATCTACAGAAAGCATGAACATAAAATACTGAATGGTGATAAGATCAATTTTAAATTTGACAAATCTTAAAAATAGGTACAGGTACATTATCATCATTATTATTAATAGATATAGTAGACAGAGTTAGTTATGCATTTGAGAATGAACTAAAAAGGCATGAAGAAAAGGGTGCAGACGTTGATGAATTTGGTGTAAAAATGACGTACCGTATTCTGTGCTCAGTCCCCAGAGCTTCACCTTGTTTGCTTCATACTGGGCCTTCTTTTTTAAACGGCAAGCTCTACAAAACACAACAGATGAGGGAAGTTAACTGATGCATAACGGGAAAGAGGACCAGAGCAGTAAGCACTCGAAAACGTGACATACTGCTCCCAAATTGATAGCGAAGGGAAAAGTTTTGTAAATGAATCTGCAGTGGAGGTCAGCGTGATTATACAAAAAACATCTGTGTCAATCTGGTGTGTACGTACTGTATGTGAGTGCATGCTTTACCTGGATGCCAGCTTGTTCTTCTCCTTGCGGGACCGAGGTCGTGCGGTCAGCGGCAGCTCACTCACAGGGGTCAGGTCGCTGATCACCTTGTTCAGTTTGCGGAGCTCGGTGCCGATCTGCAGCAGCTTGCGCGGATTCGGAGTAAGGTCTTCAACGTCTGTGCGGCGAGACTTCTTCAGCATATACTTTCCTTCATGACAACCAACAGAAAGAATTATTAGACATGACGAGCACATCGTATGTCACTGCTAGAAGCTGGAGGATCAACAATGCAATTGCATGCACTTCACGCTTCACACTGGAATAAGAAACAACCACCCAATCACATGATAAATCAATCGTGAAACTTTCTCTTGCACTTCTATGAGCAAAAACTCCTTTTCCTTATTTTTTCCTCTCTTCAATTTGAAGTGGGAGAATTAACTAGAATTTTTCACAGTTTTTCTGTTCACTCAGGGTTTCTGCCAGTGTATTGCAAGCTTGACAGCCTGTCAGGCCTAAACAGACTCCCTTGCTGGTCCTAAGCACTGGAGAACTACTTTAAAAAATTATTTTTAAGCTTTTAAAGTACAGTGGGGCAGTTAAGTTGGAATAATGATTGTAAAGCAACATCTGTAAAAACTTAAAACACAAGCTAATTTTACCTAGCAACCTTAGCTAGCTAGCCAGTCAGCAACACGGATACTTCCTTTGACATTTAGAGATAATGTCAAGGCCAAAACATTTTTTTTTTTCAGACGTCCGAATACTGGAAGCGATTGCGATGAGATAGAGACTGCTCATATTCGTGGCTCAACAACGTTAGCCCAGTCTCGGGCTGATGAAGCGCAGCCGCAGGGCACCTCGTCCTCGGTAACTTTTCCTGGGGGAAACTCTGCCACTGAATACATTTTCTCATTGCTGTCAGCAGAAAACAGACTTTAAACTGCCATTTTCCATTCAGTCACAGTTGTTGACACCTGCGGTGGATCTATAACATGTCGGTTCAGAAAATAATTACTGTATGTTGGACCACAACCCATTAGTTATTATTGAATTTTCAAACGCCAAAAGCTTGAAGTGCCTTTTTTCTTTTTGAAAAACATTACGAAATGATCAAAATGCAATATGACTCATCCTCTACATACCAACAAAAGAATTACAAAAATACACCCATGAATGCAAGAGAAAGACTTTGCTGGCTTCGCTTTTCATTACCACTGTTTGTTTTTTTTGCAAAAGGTGCAGGCCTGAGCCTTTTATGTGACAAATGAGACACGCTTCTTTTATTTATTTAATATTCCCAATGTGATCACTCAAACTACAGTATCACCGCAGCATGCTGTGCGCAGCTGCTGTTGTGGAAAATCTAAACCGTCACAGTCCCACTTAAAGCTTGAGCTACGGTCGCCACTAAAAGGCATATATGATACGTTTTATGCTGTGATGGAGGCAGTGAAATGAAACCCCCCAAAAAAGCACCAAAAATACAATAATCCAAAAGATGATTTCATTTTGTGTAAAATTAAGTCGTTCCTTTGAAGATTCCCATAAAGCTTTGGACTAAACATTATTATATTAAGTCCTAAACCAAGGCTTATATCCTGCAATGCCAGCTTGTATTAATACTTTGCTCCACTGTGCAGTCATACATATACATGTATGTGTGTGTGTCTGTGTGTATGTATGTATACCATGGAGAGGCCCGTTCTTCTGGTACAGGTTGCTAGGCAGCGTGTGTCTGTCCCACTCAGATGGCTTAAGCATACGTTCCTGTTTGGAGGGGGTGAGCTGCTCGCTGTACTCCCAGAAGTAGCGACGCTTGCCTCTCTTCCGGCTGGAGACTCCTGCTGTCAGGCCTTTAATGTCCTCCATCAGCTCCATGTCGCAGCCTGGTGGAGGCGGGAGAAAATAAGAGAATAGGGAGGAAATCAGAGCCACAGGCAGACAGTAATTAAGAGGAAATGGAGGCAATAATTTAAGAGGTAATCATTTAAGTAATAAATAAGTAACAAAATGGCCAGTGATTGGTCACATATGTCTTAACCATAAACATGAAGATGACGGGTTGCTACCTGGCTCTGAGAAGGCATCACTCATGTCGTCGTCCTTGTCTGCCTCGTAGTCTTCATCCTCCTCCTCATCCTCTTCTTCCTCATTTTCGGACAGCTCATGCTCGCTGCCGAAACCCTCATCGTGGTCTTCGTCATCTAGCTCCAACACATCCCCTTCCTCCTCCTCTTCCTCCGCCTCCTCCTCGTCCTCCTCCTCATCCTCTTCCAGCTGGGATTGGGCTCTGCCGGCCAGTCTGCTGCGGGTCAGGAACAGAGAGTAGTTGTGTTCTTCCTCCTTGCTCTTCTCCGTGCCCTCGACAACAAGAACGCCACCACTAGCCCCCGCCACGCTATCGCCGCCGCTCACGAGCCCAGAGGTGCTGCCCTCCAGGGCCTGGCTCGCCTCAACAAGCTGAGGCACGGCAGCAGACCAGCCTACAGGCATCTCCCTCTTCACTGTGACCTCTGCCCTCTTCTCAAAACTCAACAGACTGTTAGAGCCACTGGCTGCAGCAGCAGCAGGAAGTCCCACCGAAGTGGAGGCCTTCTCGTCTTGGGGCTGGGAGACAGGGGGATCTGACCTCTCAAAATGTGTCTGGATGGGCTTGTCGGGCTGAGTTTTCTGCACAGCACTCACACGGACTTTGGCTTTACGCACAAAGTCGGCGCTATGAGAAGTTGGGGCCGCCATCTTCGTTCCTCGCCCCTGGGGCTTGGTTTGAGCTTGGCCGTAGTCCTGGGTGAGACTGAGGAGAGTCTGGGTCTTGGCCATGGTCTCGGTGCTGGAGGCGACAGGTCTGGTGGCTTTTTGGGAGCCTTCAGGAAAGTCTGGGAGAAGGCTGCGGGTGGGACGGGAAGAGGATGTGGAGCTTGGGGAGGGCCGTGCAGAGCCAGGGCCCAGTCCTTGGCCAGGGACCAGGGGTCTCTTACTGTGACCGGGAAACTGGGACGGCTGAAGCTGAGGCTGGGGGGCAGGCAGGGTCAGGTCAGCAGGGGGGTAGAGTGCTTCACACACAGGCTGCGAATCCTCGCTGTTGAGCTGAGCCAACGTCGGTGTCTGACCAATCACTTCCTCATCCTGGTAGGGACTAGAGAAATCATCTAATCCAAGGAAATCGACCTCTTTGGTGCCCCAAATGTCACAGCTGGCCAGCCGTGTGTATCTGCCAAGCACAGAGACAATCAACAGTGAAAGCTTTCATTGTGAATAACCCCTAAAATCCAACAGTATCCAAAACATGATAAGGATCTTCTACTTATTTCTGCTTTAGATTGTAAAGTAAATATATTTGAACAAAACAAGACATTCGAAGACATCACTTTGGACTATTTCAGTATTTTCTGACATTTTATAATATATACCAAAGGAACACTCAGTTAGTAGGCAAACTATTTGAGAGATTCATTCAGTAATACTGAATTGTTTGTTGTTTAAGTTGAAATATGAATGATGCATCTGTGCCTCAGACTGCCAGACTTAGCACTACAGCTGATGGCGCACGCACACACACACACACACACACACACACACACACACTGCTGTATGTGTCTCTTTGGTGAAGAAAGGTGAAGAAAACTACTGTTTAGTTAAACCGCAGTGAGGAGCAAAGATGCATCAGAACACACAAATAGAGTATGACTTCTTCTGACCCAGAAACACGCTCCATAACACAGCTAGCAGACAGTAGTGTGGGACTAATCTGGACAGTCGAGGCTGTAAAGAATGACTCACTCATTAGCCAAAAGATGCAGCACTTTCCTCTGTTCTACTTATACATGACCTCAGTCAACCCTTCTAGCAGCAGATACCCCTAACCTTGCAAGAGCCAGCACTATTCCACCTCAACAACAATAACAACCTTTAGACTTCAGGAACTGTTTTCTGCCCTCAGCTGACACTCAACATCCGAGCAGAGGGTGCACAAACTATTTTGGCAGCAAAGCATCAAGATAACTGCAGGACAGACGGAGCATCACCTGAGATCTCAGGAGACTGCGGCAGCCAGCTGCTTTGTTGTTTACAGACCTCTTCTACCACTCCCTGCCTTGAAGCAAAACCACTACCTGTTTCAAATCACCCACTGTCAGCCTGCCTGTGTCAGGCCAAGATGACCTGCCTCGACGATAACCTGTCAGTTACGGTAATCTCTCTTGCTATAAAAACCTTTAGGCACATGTCCGATCTCATAACGCTCACAGACTGACTTCTCATCTGCTCGCAGTTTTCCTACAGACATCTTGAGCCCACAGCATGCAGGGAACCACTGAGTACAACCTCCTCTGTGCCACGACCCTCTTTATTCAGGCAATTCAGCTAGTCCTGAAATGATTAGCTGATTATTAATTATTGAAAACAACTATCGACAACAATTCTGACAATCGATTAAGCATTTTATCAAGCAAAAATTTCAAACATTTGCTTCTCAAACGCAAGGTTTTGCTCCGTTTGAAACCATTGTTAATTGATACTCTTGGGCTTTTGGCTGTTGGTCGGACAAAACAAGCAGTTTGAAGAAATAATCTTGGCCTCTGGGAAATTGCAATACACATTTGTGTGAATAGAAGGTGCAGGCCTGAGCCTTTTATGTGACAAATGAGACACACTTCTTTTATTTATTTAATATTCCCAATGTGATCACTCAAACTACAGTATCACCATAGAAAAACTAGGACAGAAACTGTCTGTTTCATACAGAACCGAGTTCATTCAGAGGGAGCGTACGAAGTGTAATAGCCTTGTCTTTGATTTTAAAGGATAACACTGGATGTTATTATATATCTTTCTTACTTTCTTGTCTTTTCTTTAATTTCTTTAAACAGCTGGGCAGTGAATTTCTTTATGAAATGTTTCTTGAGCAAGAGAAAAGTGGAGTATTTTCAGCAGCACATTAGCAAATGTTTGGTACCCTAGTGATTATTTACAAAAGCGGGATAGTGTATATGATATTGGCTCAAAATAGTCTACCCATTATAATGAAGGAACATGTCACCCAGTGTAACAGTGTGGCTCATTGGTGTGTTTTCAATTTTTTAGGGATAATAATGGAGGTCTATGGCACAGCGGGATAAGCTATATCAGGCTCTGGATACACAAGACAATGCTTGTTAGTCTACAGGCTTGATAAGTCACAAACAAACACCTTCTGGACACTAAACCTCCTGTAGTTATTGTACAAGATCCATTCATAGGTAATATTAGGCACAAATATCCGCAACATAACCCACTTCAACTGTGTGCGTGACTTTCATTAAATTCATCAGCATGTTGTTATGTCTCATTTACTTGTGGCTGTTTTTAAACTTGACTTAAAATAAGCTACAGCGCATAAATAAATAATCCAGTACCTGGTGAGGTCTTCCCAGTAGGTGTCCCACTGTTCAAACGCTGAGCTGCTGTAGACCGTCTCACACTCGCCCAGACCCATGAGCTGATCCACGCAACCTTCCACCTCCTTCCCTCCATCGCCAACCCCCACCATGCTGTCCCCACAGGGGCTCTGCCGGTGGGTCATATCTCTGTCCTGCAAAGAGGAGGAAAAAGTGGAGGTGAGTCAAGCAGGTGGCGGGTTAGATGTTGTAGCTTTAATTTTATTTAATTTACTTTTTGTTTTCATTTTACTATCACAACATTGTCATAAGAACTTTTCGGCAGAAATCATTTCTCTATAAATTCATAACTCAGACTATGCCTGGTGGGGGAATGTCTATGAAGCTGAGGTGTGACGACATTTCTAATTTGTTTTTCTGTCAGAAGCGTTTGAATTTGCCCAAAATGAGACAACACAGTTGTTCTCCTGGTTGTCAGGATCAGATCCTTCTATGTATTTACAGGACAGATAGAGAAGATCTTAACAAAATACTGCAGCTTTATTTTACATATAGTAAAAGAGTTTACCGAGACCATGTCGGTCCAGGGTTGAAGAAGATGGCAGATTATCTAACACCCAATCACCCATTAATGTGTTGCTATGGTGCGAGAAATTGAGAGCACGGCAGTGATCACTATTGTTTGGACTACAGTTGACAGTAAATTGAGGCGGGCACCTGGAGCTGACAGTATGAGTGGTGACAGGTGAGCTGTCTGTTTGCCTGTGAGTCTGGCAAATGTCACACGGCTGCTGAACAATTAGGCACAGGCCTCTTTGTTTTAAATGCCATGCTGGCAGCTGAGCTGACCTTAGTACATAATATAAATTCATACAATTATCCCTACTATTACTATGATTAAAAAAAACAGTAAACGGTGACGTGATCAAAAGTATTTTAAGCAAACAAATGATTGGGATTATTGATATGAGTGAAAGAGAAGGTTTTTCTCTTTCACTAACATACACAGTATGAGGGATGCAAGGGACTCTCCATTTACTCCCACCCTTAAAATGTTCAATTTACATATAGTTTGCTGTGAAGAAGGCCTACAGACATTTTTCACAGCAGCCGTTTTGACATGAAATAGTAGGGTAAACACCTTAGTGTAGCAGAGTCTTTCCAGTGAGCCAACATGCCCAGTAGCAGTCCCCTGACTCTGTTTGACCTGAATGGAACAGAACCTTAATTAGTATCATTGGCAACACCTGTGTTTCATGTCAAAATGGTTGCTTTGAAAAAGGTCTACTGTCGTCTGTGCAGACATTTTGTTATAGCAAAGAAAGCACAGGTGTTTTTAACACCATAACACTGGCTTCATGCTATGCAGGAGTCCTAGTAAACTAAAAGCTCTTCTGTTTTGGATTCAAAACCTAATTGCTTCCCTGTTTGTATTTAATTTAAATGTTGCAGTGTGTGTGTTTTTGTTGTCTTTTATTTATTTAAATACTAATAAGTTAGGATCAAAAACAAAATATATCGCTGTGCCACTTACTGTTCTTTGAACTCTCTCTGGTGTTTGTTGGGAGCTTGTGTGCTGTGTACCATGTAACCTAATATTGTTTTTTGATACGGGTGGGGATACTCGTGCAGAGCTGAGCCGTGAGCAACTGTGACCACTCAAGCCACTCAAGCTGGCTCAGTGCGAGTGTTTTTCCACTGCACAGCATGGCAAGGTAAAAGAAGCTGTTTACCTTGACGTGTTGGAGGTGTGCTGGAAACTCGCGAAAACCACATTAAGAGCCTGTAGTCTGTAGGTCTTCATCTAACATCTCAACTGCGGCTGTTTCAGCTTGTACTATATACGCTGCAACATTTAAAACTGATCCACTGACCAAGAATAGCAACGCAAACTTTGCTCTGCTAACTATGTGATATACTATAGGAGCTTCACAATAGAAGGCTATCGCTGATATGCCAGTGGAGAGCTTTTAACGTGAAGTGGCAGCAGCACGATTGTTCAGCTAGCATCGATGACTGAAAGCTGAAATCAGTAAACGCTGATAACTGAAGGGAAACTAAACCCCAAACTACACAGATTCAGTAAGAAGCTACATCAGAATGATTTGATGATCAGTTAGTATGAGAAGCATTTTCAGCTTTGACCAGCAGCTCTATAACTGGCTCTGTCAGTCAGTCCACAAAAATGTCAAATTTTCCTATTTTATATTTGCCTGTGTGTGTTTGTATTAATGCCAATTGGCAAAAGGGGGGAGTGGCTCAGTTCTAAACTGGTTTCTGTAAACTGACAAACTCTCACAATTTTGCCATGTCCCTTTTCCTAACTCATGAACCGGCTGTCAAAATACAAGAAGATGATGAAAGTGACAAAGAGGAAGAAGAATATATGACAAAAGATCCTGTGAGTAAGTTGCAAAAAAGTGATTAAAAAAAAGGTGTGTTTGAGAATATATGTAACTATTTATGTCAAATGTGTGACGCACGAGGAGAAGTGAACTTTGACTGGTGATCTTTAAACTTGGATCCTTCATTCAGATGCAGCTCAGTGACAGCGCAGCATGAGCAGCTGTGACTGATCTGAAAAGAAGTCAGGTTCAAAGGATGGTTAGCAACGTCTGAGCCCGTCTAGTAGTGAGATGAGTGAGTGTGTGTGTGTGTGTGTGTGTTGTTATACATAATTATATATTTGTACATACAGGTGTGGGTGATAGTAACCTTTGTACAAAGAAATATTTACTTACTTTATTTTATATTAGTTTATATAGTGTGTGTGTGTGTGTGTGTGTGTGTGTGTGTGTGTGTGTGTGTGTGTGTGTGTGTGTGTGTGTGTGTGTGTGTGTGTGCAGCCACTCACAAGTTCATACATGAAATCTGGGTCAGAGCTGGTGGCGAGCAGATCAGTGCTCGTCAGGGCCTGGTCAGCAAACGAGTAGTTCTGAAAGGCGTCCCCAAAGGGAGGCTCCATCCCACTGACGCTAGGCTGCAACGCAACAGAAAGACAAAAAACACGTAGTGAACAAAAAATAGTAATCGTCATAAACACAAAAGACAAAATCTCATAAAAACTAACAAACTAACTTTTTAAGTGTAATTGTTTGTTTTAATACATGTCATTCACAAAAACATACAGAGATTCACATTATAAAAGGTGGCACCCAGGATTACTCTGACGTGTCTTGTTTTTAAGATACCACATACTTCTGAGTAACTGTCTGTTATGTCATTGTAGTGTCTAATATGAACCACAATGAGATAAATACGGAGCAGAAAGGAAAAAAGGAGCAGCATCATTTAAAAAAGAAAACCACTTAGGGGGCCAAGATCGTCTTCTCCTGAGGCCGATTGTGTAATGTTTCTATTAAGTCAGTACCACAGAGAATAAAAAATCCAAAGTTATGTTCACACTCAACTCAGTTGAGACATTTCATACGTATTTTTAGAAGGATCCAGAGTTCATATTCATTCACTAACACATTCACTGTTAGCCCATCTGCCCGCAGCAGCTGTTTGGATGCAGCGGTTACAGACGTCACACTGGACCAGGGTCAGCCGCTCGCTTCCTTCAACACAGCTGAACTATGTTTCACATCTCTGATACTCTACGTCTGTATCTGGTTTCTGCAAAGCTCCTTTGTTTCTATCTGTTCACTGGATTTTGGGTCAGTTTTTTATTTGGTCAATTTAGTTTGAGGTGTATATTAGTTGTACTTATAAGGATTTAACAACATTGTGGTTTTTCATTCTGTTTCAGACATTTTGGCTGATTATATAAGTATTCAAATAACAGAAATAATCAGACTCTCACACTTTTGAAAACTGTCCAGTAGGCAACCTGTGTGTACCAGTGACGGCAACGTTTCCGTTCTTCTGTTCCTTTTACCTGAGGCATCGCCAGGCACAGCTTAGAGCTCAAGTGGGGGGAACCTCTGGGCCTCCTGTCCGGTCCCAGTGGTGTGATGTTGTCTAATGAGCGCAATAAATTACTGCTTAATGAGACGATTGCTGAGCGCTGGTGGATGCAGCCTTCAAGGCTTGGGGGAAATGGGGGAGGGGAGGTGGGGTTAGTAACTGGGCTCAACCTGGTCTGGTCTGGTCTGTTGTGGTCTGGTGTGGTAGGCTGTATGCTTCAGGTCTGTGGTAAAAAACGGAGAGAGCAAACAGAGCAAGTATAAGAAGTAAGTATAAGTAGTATAGAAGTATAAGAATCAAAAGAGACAGGAGCAAAAGAAGAAGAACAGTAACATGCAAGTACATTTTAACCACAGCTGCTGAGTTTGCTTGTTTCTCTCACGCACCAAACTGCAACAGGATGAACTGTGATGTATTAACAGCAATTTTGATAATCAACTTATAATATGTTAAAGAAACTGTTTCTCTTAAGTCTTTAATTAAAGTTAACTGAATATGTTTGGTGTTTAGACATAAAAACTTAAATATGACAAATGGAAAGTTTTGGTGGACATTTATTCTGATATAGACCGAAACAATTAATAGATTGATAGATAATGAAAATAATAATTTGTTGTAGCTCTAAAATCAACAATTTAACCTGCAATTATGCAAGTTAGGTATGTTTTCATTAGTAAATAGGAATATAATGAGCCGTTTCAATCTACAGACGTCACCTTCCATGGAGTCCACTATGTTGAACCGCCATGTTTCTACAGTAGCCCAGAATGGACAAACCAAACACCGGCTGTATTTAGGGCTTTTTGCCTTTTTTTGCAAGTTTCACTGCCCCCGTAATTTATTCTACACACTTCACAGCCCATTCTCATGTCGTCAAATACACGCGAACAGTGTTAGTCGCAATCTGCAACTTCATCTCTGATTGCCCCTAAATCTTACACATTGGTCCTTTAAAGGAACATATCATTGGAAAATCTGTCCCAGTGCTTCTAAAAATGCTGAACGTTTGCCTCCAGTCATCCCTGTGTTTACTAATAACTGCAGGATGGGAGGCTCTTCCTTCTGTCTCTGGACCAGCATCAGCCTAGCATTAGGCCTTGCTACTCTATTGTAATCTCATCTTTCCTCCTCGGTCCCTCTTGTTCACTTTCACTTTCACACACTGACCTAAATATACTCTGATGTTCTGGGGCCTGTATGATGAAGCAAGATGAGTGTTTGAGCTTGACCTTTTTGGGTATCATGAAGATGGCTCACTTTTAACCAGGGTAGATCGTCACGGTAACCACATACAACATGGAAATAAATGAAGATGTTAGTTAACGCAAGCGATTCTCATTTGAACTAATGGGCACCATGTTTGGAGTCCAGTTTACATAATGAATTCATGATCCAAACAAGGAGTCCAGAGTTTAGAGGAATCATAAAAGGTATAAAGAGCAACATACATTTTATTGGTACCTACTATGATAAGCTAGAGACAGACAATCAGGTATTCACTCTGGGTTTAAAACAGGACAGACAGGGTAGAAAAGGTTGTGGCGGTAAACTCATTAACGAGCCAATTAATCATTATGGCAATGCCAGCCCGGGCAGACTGCAGAAATCCACTGTGCCAAGCAGCAGACAGTCTATCCAAATAGACCTCACCTGCAGTCTGCGTACAGTGGACTGTTCAGTTAGGGAAACCGTATTGTGTTACTGATTAATCTGATAACTGTTATTGTTTATTCTATAGAAAGTCCAAAAAATAGTAAAAACATCCAAACAATGTACAATGATATAAAACAAAGAAAAGCATTGAATATTCACAGTTAAGATGGTATAACTACGGAATGACTTTAAAAATAATCGAGTATCAAAATACTTGCTAATTATTACTCTGTCAGTTAACTAATTGATTAAAAAGGTCCAGTGTGTAACATTTAGGAGAAATCTATTAACAAATATCAAATAAAATATTCATAGATAAATTCTCAACTGTGCATAATCACCTGAATATAATAATTATGTTATTGTTAACTCAGAATGAGCCTTTTATATCTACAGATGCTACGGGTCACCTTGCAGGGAGTCTTGTTAAACTGCCATGTTTCTACAGTAGCCCACAGGGACAAGCTAAGTACTGGCTTTAGACAGTGGTTTTCAAACAGTTTCATGCGTTTCACAGCCGTCGTAGTTTCTCCTTCACACTTGTTGCAATCTGCAGTTACACCGCTAGATGCCACTTAATGCTTCACACTGGACCTTTGATTAAGCCACTAATTGTTTCAGATATAATATGAAGTAAGAAAATAATGACTGGTAATAAAATCATTTGTAAATATTTCTCCGTCTTTTCGTCCAATCAACATAACGAACCGGTAAATCCATTAGCAAAGCGCTCAAAGCACACAGCAGCTCTCAGTCTGCTGCCGGAAGTTGTTGTGAGAATAAGCTTCTGAGAAATTTGTGGTGCGCTCCAAACCCCTGCCCCCACCGTATGTTCAGAAAGTACCGACTTTTCCCAACCCAACCGCCTCCCCACCTTCCTTCAGAGAGCATTTGATTTGTTCTGAGTACATTAGGCTTAACTTTAACTTTATTTTAATCGTCCCTTCTACCCTCCTCTCACGCGTACCGTCTGCAACACACGAACTGATCTTTGGTCCCTTCGGCGCTTTTGCATAACAAATAAATGTGAATCTGCATGGAGACATGACCCCTGCAGTGAACAGCTGACACACAACTGTGCACCAATCCCACTCCTCTGAGGCCCGGTTGACGACATCACTTCCTCTCACTGGGTGCTGACTGAACTTCTCACCCCTCAGCTCAGTCGCCCTGTATACATACTTTGCATAGAGACAGGAAGTGGCAGAAAACACATTGGTAGTACTATTACAACAACAGCGACAGTAAAAGCAACACCTTTACAAAAAACAAGGCACATGCAAGCACAATTGTCTATGCACATAAATATGCATATGCACACACACTCTCTTAAAGACCCAACTGTATATTTGGAACTTCTGAAATACAAATTGCGATCATTATCATATCTCAGTGTGTACTTCCTTCCAGGGCAGCTGTGTCTAGCTTCACTTCTAGCCGAAACAGAATGAGGAAACATATGGCCTGAGCACAACAGTAACACCAACATTAATCCAGACTCTCCGCTATCACAGAAGGAAACAAAAAAGGCTGTGTTCACAACGAGCAATCTTACAAACGTGCACAAAGCAAGTCACAACGCTCCTCCTCACCTCTCCAAGCAAAGCTGCACCGAATATTTTGCGGCAGCAGAATCTAATAATCCAACTCACTACTCAGTAGCTGACACAGGCTGTGATGTAGAGCCGGATATTTATGACCGAGCATGACAGGCCCCAAAAGACTCGATCTGAATTTCTCTCCCAAGCTTCGGTCAGACGTAGTTCAGTGATGAAGCATTAGAGCTTTTTCCTTTAGCCCTTATACTTCATACTAGACTTCACTTGGTTTACGGCCACCACCAATCTAACCTGTAACCTCCAACCATTTCAGATTTTCTCATGGCCTTCTTTTCAACTCTTTAAATATTATCTTTTTTCACTTCGAAGGCTATGACAAACATAAAAAAAAACTTATAGAAAAATACATTAGTGTTGTTCACTAAAGAAAGATAAACAAACCGATGAAGACAGAAGTTGTTTAACAGGACAGAATTTTTTGCAGCATCATCACAGAAGTACATAAGGGATAAACAATTTTAGTTGAGTCTGAAACAAGGAACGGCTTTTGCCCGTCCAGGCCAGGTAACAATACACTACCCTCACTCTTGGTAATGTGATTGACTTTTGATTACGCTGTTATGATGCACTGTGGCTGCATCACTCTGCTGCAACTCACATGTTGGATATATATATATCAAATGTCTTCTTACACAATTTACAAATTGTGCTTTTGTTTTTTTTTTTATACCGTCGATTGACAACTAACTTTGACATGCGAGGTCACAATGCACTCTCTCTACAAATGCACGGCTTCCTGCGCGATGTCACACATGCACATGTCCTTTATGAGCTCAAAATGGACTCGCACGACAACAGCTCTGTCTTCTTTGTTTGTGAACGTTAGAAATGAACATCAACTGGGGACGCAGTATTATAATGATAAAAATCATTATTATTATGCCATGTTTACATTAGTGGATAAGTCAAGTGGTAGAAAGGAAACTAAATGCAGGTTTGATGGTCATACATTTTACAATTAATTGCTTTTTATCAAGTAAAGATACCCAAACTTTGCTCTTTATTATTATTACTATAAATCTGGTAGCTTCCCAGACTAAATGAGTATTTAAACAAAAATACTTTTGGCTCTACAAAACTGTCTATGTACAAAACAATATAAACAAATGTATGATAAGCTGGTTGCCTAAGTGGATAGTTTAATCACAGCAAGTGCTTGGAGACAACATTGTCTGGTCACCATTATCACTGAATCTTAATAAACAATCAGATAACAATAAATATTCAGACAACCAACCACTGTACATTTCCTCCTCTCCCTGTTAGTTCACGTCTGAACAAAAAGAGGAGTTTAGTTGTGATTGTGCTGCGCTCAACTCACAGCTCCACTATCATACAAACAGCTCACATTCTCCGCCTCACAACATTGGACATGATCCAAGTAGGCCAATCAGCAGTGTCTTATTTGAAATGAGTTACCTACTGATACCAGTCAGTCCCTTATTCCTACACAGATAACAAGGTGGATATTCAGGCCTGTTTACCAAAAAGGACATGTGAGAGAATCTCTGCAAACACCATGAAAGGTCATTAATCCACAAGCCCTAAATGTTCGGTACAGTGTGGCAACAGACAAACAGAATATGGATGCTCACTTACAGCCAATTGTGTGCAAAGGTTGGGACTTTTGCTGATTGATCTATATGGACATTTTTGATTTAGTGGTATGAGCAGGCAGGTGAAAGTAGAGCTTGCGATTCAATATTATTGACTACGTATCGATTTTTACAGGGTCGTATTGTAATATATGATTTCAGACATGTGATATCATGATTTTAAGAAATGTTTTTAAATGTAATTGCAAAATATGTTTCACCAGTTTTGTTTTTTTTTGTCGTTTGTAATGCATAACGGAGGGAAACGCATCATCGGACTGAATATCTATTTGATCATTTTAAGTGCATTTGCCATAATCCAAATATATACCAATATACTATTACAAAAACATTAATATTTATATCATGATTCTGATACTTGGGCGGCTGTGGCTCAGTAAGTTGAGCCGCAGGGTTGGTGGTTCGATTCCCCCGGCTCCCCCTGTCTATGTCTCAAATTGTCCTTGAGCAGTCAACCACAAGTTGCTCCCTGGGTGCTCACTGCTCCAACCGTTTAGGATGGGTCAAATGCAGAGGACAAATTTCAATTCAATAAAAAAAAAAATACTGAAAATAGGACAATAAAGGCTAAAAAGCCCTGATTCATCTTTACAGGTTAAAGGTCACAGTTAGAGAGACCAGCATTCTCAGTCACAAAGATGCAACATACAAGTGCAAATTCTTTCTTCAGTCCACTGAACAGCCCTTTGTTGTGCTGTACTGTTCAGTATTGCACAATGAACAGCTCTTAAGACACCAAATTAACTGCAGCTATGTGGCCATTGGGGTTATAATTCAGGTGTACATTTTAAAAATACAACATTTTACAGGTATATTATTGCTTTGTCTTGCTTGCTGTGTGTTTGGCTGATCAAATACCTTAATTTTACTAAACTCTACAGTTAAGACCCCCACAAGTATGGCTGTATTCAGCAACTGAGAAACAAACATGAAGTATACGCCACAACGTTTAGATATTCTTCACTTCAGATTCAAACACAACTACGCACCCACAGGAGGATCACTAAACCAGTGACAAACTGGGGAACACAGAGCCACTGCAATGGGAACGCAAATGACCAGAGGAAAAAACGTGCAGTGAAACTAGAGTTCAACAAACTGTTTTCACGGCAGACATTTTGACTTGAAAGAGGTGTAACTAATATTATTGTTGATTGCTGTGCAGCATTGTAATAATTTCTACAACTGAGCCATCGTTATTGTTGTCCTGCTATGACAGGTCAAAATGTCTGCTGTGAACAAGGTCAATTAATTTGATCCATTTGGGAACGATACAGAAACAAGAGCACTCTGGTGGGGACAAGGCTTCAGCTTAGCAAGATTTACTGAGAAAAGAAAACAACAACAAATCTAAAATATGAAGAAGTCTGATTTCAAGCTCACCTTTACTATCATACAAGTCAATATAGCAGCAGAGCCATGTGTAAAAACAAGGTTGATCAGTTGTATTTACATATTTCATGTGAATGAGAATCATTCAACAGTAAACGGTTCTTGACTGCTGTAAGCACACAAGCACATGAATGCAAATGAAGTATGATAATAAAAACAAATAATTAAATACTTGGAAAAACACATTTTAAAAACATCCTGAATTCAATGCATGTGATGACTTGATATAGGTGACGTACCAGCACTTGTGTTCATGGTATACAAATGTTTCCCCCTTTATCCCACATGATACCAACCGATAGCAATGGATGACCAGCTCTACTGGAGACACTGCAAATGCTGATATAAGCACAATGAGCTTTGCAGTTTCACAAAAACCTTTTATAAACAACTACAATGCCAGTCGAAAAACACAATCACAACACAAAAAGGTAGGAAACAGTACTAGAAGCTGAAAATACAAGTATATTTTAACTCAACCTTCTAAAAAAAAAAGAAAACCACACAAACACTGAATGTTACATCCCTGCATCTCTTTGTGATGGATTCACTCCGTTTTAGAGAGGCACAGTCTGAGAGCACGAACGTCTACACCTCAAAACAGCATCATCACCATCAAACATGCAGGTATAGATCATAAATTACCTATTATAAACACCAATAAAGCCATAAATGTCACCAGTACCTCCATAGTCTCTGCACTCATCACAGATCCTCAGTAAAGCAAAACAAAACCTCAATCTAACCCTGGGTGCCAACACCCACGTAATCCCTCTTCCCTATTGGTCGAGCGGAGATCATGTCCCGCCCCTGGGCGTGTCTGAGTGGCCGCTACGACTGTCAATCACGAGAGCTGCTACATAATAAACAGCCCGTTTCAATCTAGGTTGAGGCAGAAGATAAACAAGTTGGAGGCCTACATGCCCGTGGCCTAGATAGCTTTATTTAAGAGACATTTAAAGTTAAATCTACCAGATAGCGCAAAACCTGAACGCAGCACAAGATCATACGTCAATCCGTGATATTTATTTAGTAACTATACCTGAGAAAAACACAGAAAATCAAGCGTTTATCTGCCCAAATCCGGTTGATAAACTACACAGCAGGTTGTTTAGGTAAAAAACAAAATCCAAACTAATCTATCATCACAAATAAATCGATGATGAAGATATCTCTTCGGGGGACACATGAGTCTGATCCGGGTGTATTATTTAACGTCCATCATTTGTACATTTCTAGCTGTGTCGAGCTTTATTTATTTATTTTGTAGTCCAGCAGCAGTGGCTGTGTTGAGTGCTGAGGGGGGGCGTGTACCCAACAGAGAGCTCAGAGCCTGCAAAAAAGTCACCACTGAGGATTTAACTGTGACACTGAGGCTTTTTAAATACCTCAATAATAATCAATAACGCTCCAGACACATTAAAGACACGTTTAAATTGTTTTTAGGTACATTGTAAGAGGCGCTGCACGATTTTAAGATAGTTTTAAAAGTAGAGTGCAAGTCAGTCTTATGTAAGTGTCGTTTTTAAAACCACCCTGATCCGAGTTTTGGACGTGTATCTCACACTAATAAAAGAGGCTGATCGATCACCTGTGCAAAAGGGCATAATCGATAAAATCAGCCGGACAGGTGTAACGCTGAGTGACATTTGACTAGTAATTAATCTCCAGTCATCATGAAAGCGTTAGCTAGCTCCTCACATTGCCTGAAGACTTCCTGCAAGAGCGCGATATAAAAAATAAACAACAACAACAACTTGCAGCAAAAAGAAGCGACAATGCTAACCGTGTTTTCCTCAAAAAAAAAAAAAAAAAAGGATTGTTTTTCTGTTAAATGCGGAACTAAAAAACGAGTGTGTTGCTTCCTTTTTTTTTTTTTTTTTTCACCCGCAGCTCACAGTCAGTATGGCCTCCGTCCGCCCCCTTCCTCATCCCAGCTGAAGCTCGATACACAACAACAACCGACCCGAGCCTGTTAGCTTCAAAGCTAATCCTCCCGCCGCGGACCAAACACCCATCCAAAGTTCCCCCTTCACAACAACTAATCGATAACAACCCCACTCACTTCTTGGACGCCCACGCATACGTTCTGCTTCATGTTGGACCTCGTGTAGTTTCCCGTGTTGGAGATAATAAGGCCCCCTTTTCAATGGAGTCCACGCGCTGTTACAGCTCTCTCGGGTTTGTTTTGTTTTTCTTCTTCCTGACGGGTTCCTGGAAAGCGCGTGACTGCCCGACCACGTGGTGCGCCAGTGGGCCAATAGGAGCAGAGTCCGAGGCTGGGTGACAACATTTCACTATGCTCAATAAATACTGTGTTTATTGTAGTGCAGATAGCAGACCCAAAGAAAAGGGTCAAAAAGGTTTTAATTTTTTCATATTTTAGTGATTTTGCTATTTAGTTATGTTTTCTGTAGAGTTAATTCCCCTATGTGTGTGTGTGTGTGTGTGTGTGTGTGTGTGTGTGTGTGTGTGTGTGGTCACCATTTGTTGCCTTAAAGGTCCAGTGTGTAACAGTTAGGAGGATCTATTAGCAGAAATGTAATTTAAGATTCATAAGTATGTTTTTATTAGTGTATAATCACCTGAATGTAGCGAATCGGTGTGTTTTTGTTACTTTATAATGAGCCTTTTTATATCTACAGACGCTGCAGGTCACCTTTGCATGGAGTCTGCCATGTTTCTACAGTAGCCCGGAACAGACAAACCAGAACCAGAACAGAAAAACACTGGCTCTAGAAAGGGCCTTAGTGTTGGAAGGTGTGGGTGAAGCGAGTGATGCTACAGGTGGAGTTTGCCATCTTTCTACAGTAGCTCAGAACAGACAAACTAAACACTGGGCTGTAGATAGGGCCTTTCACATTTTTCACAAGTTTCGCAGCCACCGTAGTTTCTCCTACTCACTTTATAGCCTGTTCTCATTCCTAGGTCGTCAAATACAGACACCAACATTGTTCATTTACTTGCAATCTGCAGATTCACCACTAGATAAATCCTACATACTGGTCCTTTCACTTCATCACATTTTGAAACACTTAAAGGTACCATGTGGAGTTTTCCACTACTAGCAGCGCTCTGGAGCAACGTTTGTGCATGTTGGTCCTCTTTTATATTTGTTATGCACAAGGACACCTTTCCCACTGATTTACGGTCAGCGAACGAGCAAAGAAACAAAGCAAGGCACAAGCAAAGGCAGGAAGAAGAACTCAAGTAAACATGGCTTTAACAGCAAGTAGTGTTCAACATTTCAAGAAAAAATGAGGATGGAGATATTTTCAACGAGTCTGTTCAGCCTCAAGGATACACAACATAAACAGTTATCACTCACAAAGGAGCCATGTGCTTTTTTTCTTCACTTCCTTTTATCAGGTGTGCTTCAAAGCATCCAGACTCTTCCTCTCTCCTCCTCCTCCACATGTAGGTTGTTATTAACCTTTCATGTGCCCTTCTAATGTCTAATACAATATTGGCATACAAAGCATGTCCAGTGTTCAACAGTTACATCTAAAGACTTTATCTATCGCTACTAACCATATCATGAAGTTTATTAACTTTAACTTTATTTTCTGTCTATCTGGATTTGCAGTTTGTTATGCAATGCTGTTTTTTGTTTATATGTGTTTTATTTTGAATTTGTGTCTTAAGTACCCCCTCGAAAATGAGATGCTACATCTCAAGGGGATATCCTTTCAATAAATTCACATTCAAATTCACACTTACTGTTACACCACTGTATGGTCTGTATCTTAAAGAGGAACTCACATTAAAGTGTATGTTCAGGTCTACTGCATATGTAAGTTGTATACGGCATTTTGTGGCTCTAGAGGGAATGTGTGATGTCGGATAAATCGCCTCGAGTGATGTAACTTGAGTCAGCATCGGTTGGGTCTGAAGAAAAAATCTGAACATGGACGTAGAAAAGATGAGCTGACCAGCACGCTGAAGCCTTACTCGTCATCTTCTTGGGACTAGCTGATTTCAGCATAACGCACCTAAATCTCTGCCCAAACTGTCTGCAGCTAAGTTGCATTGTGGGTAATGTAGGCACCATGTTTTGACAAGGAAGAAGAAAATAAAGAATAAAAGATCAGATATCTCTGGGTCTGCTGAATTGATTTTGATCCTTTATTTACACTGTCCATTTGTAGTCTGACAATGTTATAAGAGTGCAATGCTAAATCTGTGGAGTACTCCTTTAATGTACAATGGCAGGGCTGTTGATTTCATGTTTAGCCTAATGATCAAGCTGTTGTCAAATACACACACTTTTCTGAGACAGAAAATCTTATTATCCAATCTTCTACCCATAACTTCCTAACCCTAAGAGAAACCTACAATCCTGCCAGAGAACACAATTTAAACCTAAACCAAATATCTCAGCCTGACTCTGATCCACACCCACTAACCCCATTTGGTCAAACAGATCACAAAGAATTATGTCCTCGCTTTGTTTCAACAACGTTGCGAGACGTTCAGCCTTCACAACAAACAACAAAACTAAAGGTTGCATTCACATTTCTCCATCATATGTAACATTCAGTCCCACTAGAGGAAAACACAAGTTAAAAGCAATCAACTGCCTGATTCCCATAAACTGACTTACATAGTAAAAGACTCCATTGAGTCCAGATTCTCTAGGGGGGCGTATAAGCAGCTGTTCCAGGCAGCCCCCACCCCTCCTTTCACTGGAAAGAGAAACTATGACTGCAGTCTTGATTATTATCAAGTGTGACAACATAGGAAAAACAAATAACTGAATAAATAAAATTATAAAAACATGAATTATCCGGAAAAACACAGCTGTGGTCTCTTTCTGTTTCAGTATCACTCCAGAGCACACGTGAAGTCTGGCGAGGATGGGAGATGATCGGAGTGTGTGAGTTGTGAGGAATTGGTGAGCTTCCAGTGAAATGAAACTTCAGTGCGTCCCCAAAGCATCTTGTAGGTTTTTTTGAGGATTTTCATGCAGGGTACATGAGATGATGTGTTATGTGTTAACCCTCTGGAGTACTTTTGCTGACTTTCTGTGCATTTATTTACACAGAAATATAATGTGCTACAGTCTATTTACATGTAAAATTATTCTATCCTTTTTCAGGGAATTTCTTTGTATACCATTGCAAATAAAATTTAAATATTTTATGATCTAAATGAGATACTGTGTGAAAGTCTCACATTAGGGGTGGTAGATGCTACCAACATACAGTACTGTTAACAAGGACAAGTTGAATGCTGATAGACTGGAAATAACAATTTAAATTCAGTCCACTGAAAGCCAAATTAATTGTACTTAAAGAACCGGTGTGTAGGATTTAGCGGGGTAGTTGCCGATCTCAAATCCCTCGCCTCACCCTCCCCTTCCAACACTAAGGCCCTATCTAAGGCCAGTGTTTTTCTTTTCTGGTTCTGGTTTGTCTGTTCTGGGCTATTGTAGAAACATGCCAGTTAAACATGGCGACTTGCAGCGTCTGTAGATATAAAAGGCTTATTAGAAAGTAACGAAAATGCAACGATTGCTACCTTCAGGTGATTATACACTAATGAAAACATACTCATGTATATTATATTCCATTTCTGCCAATAGATCCTCCTAAATGTTACACACTGGACCTTTAATAACTGCCACCGGATCAAATTCAATGTAATGAGGCGATGGAAACACTACCGCTTTTGTCCACAGGGGTCGCCAGAATCAACAAAAAAATTAAAGCTTGTCACTGTTTTCAGTTTTGACTGTTTAAAAGTCTGAAACCTCTCTAAACCTGCTCTGTGAAGAGTTCCCTTCAAAGTTTATTTTAACTTACAACAGTTTGACTTGGCTGAGTGTATAACAGCTCATCAGCAACAGGGATTCAAGTGCCGCAGAAGTGACCCATGTTACACCAAACTGAGTCATATGTTTGAGATCTTGGGACACTTTGTTTTGAAATTCTCCCCTTTGATTCTGTTATTAGCATTGTGATTGTGTTCTTGCTGCTAGGAAGCCAAGACGGAGGAGACACAGGGCCCATTATACATGATAGTAAACAGACCGATGTGGTGGAGAGGATAAGCTTTGTTGCAGGCCTCTTAGTGGTTGTCATTTCCTTGAAAGTTTTACATTCCTGACTGGGGATACAACACTGTTCCTAAAGCTTGACAGGAAAATCTCCCTGAATAATACAGAATATATTCCATAGAATTTTAATCATGAAATGGTGAAACGATCGTGCTCCAATGTTTCCTGCAGTAAAAGCAGAAATCTGTCTTAAATCACAGCAAGAGGGTGTCCATGGTCCGGGGAACTTCATTTTGGGTCTTTAAATAGAGGATTTCTTCAGGTTAAGGACATAAAGACTTAAATAAAAAACAACTTAATAATTTGGTGTGTATGTACTTTGGCGGCTGGACAGATTTAGGATCTGAACCTCCAACTTCCATCACAGTGACAAAGCTACTGCAAGATGTCGGTTTAACTGCATGAATCTGATTTATAAATCTGTAAATCAAGATTTTTAAAATCATCCACTGGAACGACTGTGGCGGGGGTTTATGGGCAGTCGACTGCCACGCTAGATGTCCTGTTAGTGACATATTACTTAATAACTTTCCTTTTTTCTTCCCATTCCTGTAAAAGAAAATTAAACTTCAAATGGCTGAACACCAGCAGAATTAAATCAAGCAGGAAAATAGATTATGTTCAGAGCTCAGAGGTGTAAACTTTCTACTGTGAAATTATTAGTAGACAGGAAATAAAACCTGAGTTTTCAGATGTAAATCAGTGGATAGGTGGACTTTTTACTATACCTTATTCATGGAAAGCCATCCGAACCATCCTTTTATTGTATTGTATAGTATCAATAATGCACATCAGACAGCATAACAGCAGCATTACTGTTTATCAGCAGATGAAATATGTTGATACATGCCGTATTCAGCAGAAAGTAAAGTTTGTAGAGCATCAGTGGTTAGATGTGACACCAAATCTGTTGTTGTCGTAGCTTTTAATCGCATCTCACGATCTTCCTCAGTGGGTGGAGATTGCTCAGTTTGTCAGTCCATCTGAAGACAACTCAAAGACTATCCACAAGGTCTATAAAATGCAGTTAAAAGTTCTGCAAAAAAGCTAACAGGTGGACCTTGAGGCAAAATTATTTGTCAAACTACTATTCCTAAGGTCGAGAATGAACGTGCACAAATCTGTAGTTAAACAAAATATAAATCCTGTTTATAGAAACAACTCAATCAATGTAATCGTCAGTGGGGTTGAAGTAATAAAAGCATGTTTTGGACTATTTATGTAATTTTCTGCTAGAACTACATTTCAGAGAGATATTATACTTGCTGCACGATACAGTCAAAACATCATAATATGATTATTTTGACAGATATTGCAATTCACGATTATGTGGGAATTATCATTTTTCATCACAAATTGAACTGTCACTAAAGAAACTGATTAAAATCATGATGATGTGACATTTTGGGGGGTCCGTACGAAACAAAAATGTTTTCTTAATTCTCGAGATTATAAGTACAGTACTTCATTATAATGCTGTTTTGTAACACATTTGACCTTTATGAAAACATTACAGCTCTTGAGATTTGCATATTGCAATTTCAATAATATTTCGATTAATTGTGCAGCCCTAATTGTACTTTTCACTCCATAGATCTTAGTACTTCTTCCACAACTGCCCCAAATCTCTTGAAAAATATACAAACTGTACCTTTGTTTTCAAGGGTGGTATTCCAACTACTTGTCTTTCATTGTTTTAAGACTAAACTTCATCCTGCACTCGTACTCGCTGTGTAAAATATCCATAATATCAAATATTAAAGTTCATTCTGACCTTGGAAAAAATTGTTTTGGCAGAACAATCCCAACTCAATATTCACTTATTAGCTTTTTTCTTATCAGCAGATCTGTTGAGCTGATTACGTCCACAGCACTTTAAGGACTTGCTGGCTCAGAAGTTATGCATTAAAGTTCATTGTCGCCCTTGGAAACAATCCCAACAAAAGGTGCACTTACTAGTCTTTTCAACCGTAGCACACCGGTTTCATCATGCTCAAAGTTAAGGGCCAACCTGGACGAGAGGTTCACCACCAACAGAGCAAATTCTATCTGACGATGAAGACCTCGAACTGGGACTGTTTTTTCTTTCGATGGCTCCATAATGCTCACTGTGTGTATTTGTTTTACAGCATGTAAAGACGGTATTGCTACAAATATTTATTAATGTTGTACACACAGAAGCTGCTGCAGAGTGAATTTTAACAAAGTCGGCTGTTCAGAATCGAAAATAAACGACCTTCATTTCAGCCCGACCATTTCTGACACCATTGCAGCGTTTTGAAGCAATTTCATCAGATTAAAGGGTTGTGATGTTTTCCCATCACATGACACAATCACATTATACATCAAATGAAGCCCTTTGAAGTCACAAGGTTTTCAGATGACAACAGTTAAGTTTTTCTGAATCCAGAAAATCCACTTCAGTCCAAAACCTGTTTATAAATTAGTAATGAATAAAACAAGGCATTTCTCAAAGTCTTATGAGGATAATCAACAGTCAGTGGTTTTCCTATCATATCATCACACCATCTTTTATAGACACTTGCCATTTCTGGAAGTGAACGTCCAACTCTAAATCTTTGTATGTGTTTTCTCAAGATTACAGTACTCAATAAAAATGCAGGATCCCAACAAGGCTTTTGTGCCATCATCACCAGCGGCAGCTCCACAGATCTGTCCTCATGCTTTTATTTGGTCCAGTGTGAAAGCTTGTTGGCTCCATTCCTCAAAAAAAATTCTTTCCGCTGGATTATGCAACAAAAGCAGCAGGAAGGGGGGAGATAATGAAACAGTCTGATGAAAGGGGGCAATAGAGCACAGCACCAGTGGCCACTACCATGAGTCACTGAATAATGATTTTAATTTACAAATGAGATCTCCTTGGAACAGTTCACGCCAACAGCAAGTGCATTAACAGAACTTAAATTTATACAGTAACAGGAGTGCTGCAGTTGTTTTTGATTATATGACAGAGTGGTGTTTATGTTCACTGGTCTGTCTCATATCTCACAGCCTTTTTAAATACATGCTCTCAATACTGATTCGCAGGTGCACTGATTCTTGACTTGCATACAGGATTATTTATTTACACAGAGCAGATCCAATGACCTGATACTCATATTAACTGATGTTCAGTTACACCAACGGCAACTCAATAAAACAGCCTCCTAACAGTCAGTTCACTCTCTACTGAGATTAAATATTAGCTGGTGTTTTCCATGTTTGCTTATTTTCCTTATTTCTTGGCAAAGAAAAGCAGATTTTTTTTGGGCGAAACCACTAATTAGCATTAGCAATCAATCCTCAACCAGTACTTCGATATGTTTCATATATCGGAAATGTCGCTGGCACAGAAAACGACGCAATCAGCAAAATGAAGCTGGGCTTTGGACAGTAGCACTGTCGGCTTGAGTGGCCCGATTAAGATGAGTTTTACACTTGATTTGACTTTGATACTTGCTTGTTTTTCTGTATGACAATGTGTGTTTAAGCTTATTGAAGATAAGGCAGGGTCAGATTATGTTCAATATATTAATGATTAATTTGTTGTATCAGTAATAATGTAGTAATATACTGCTCGGATGTGTCTGTAAATACACTGAAGACTTCTCACAAGACAACCTGTAACAGCTAAGTACTCTAATACGAGAATCTCCCTGGCTCAGAATTCAGCAGGACATAAAATTTAATTGAGTGTAGTTAATACTTTGGATGTGTGTGCATGTAGCTATGAGAGCTTCAGTTACCCATAAACCCTTTCTCTGCTTCCCCACATAAACACATTTAGGAGTAACCTTCGCTGAGGCATGCTTTCAGCTGACCAGGTCATAGCTCAGTCTTGATCCTGTGCATCAGGTCTCTCTGGTCCACCATGTCTGTCTGTCTGTTCCAGCGGTGGTAAGCCAGCAGGGCGATGTTCTTGGCGGCCACTGAGCTCATCTCCATGGCACTGCCGGCCAACTCGATGCCATTGAGGTAGTAGAGATTGGGGTGGAGCTCCACAGGCGGCAGTCCCTGGCTGCTGCCATAACTGGGGTAGGCCTGCCACTCTGTCACCTGCACTGAGTAGTACGACCTAAGATTGGGAGGTACAGTAAAGCTGTTACTCTGTCTTTAATCACTTCTCATTATGATAACACATTACCCATTTAATAACTGTTGAATTGATGTAAACAGCTTTTTAGCCATAATGATGATGGGCATTTTCACTATTTTCTGGATCAAATGATCAATTGAGAAGATAATTGTCACATTATGCAGTAATCGATGACTATAATAGATACCTGCAGCCCTAGTCAATACCATGATTACTTCACCAGAGAGAAGGTGGCTGACCTGAAGAGTGTTTTGAGTTGAGTCTTGTCCAGAGGTTGTGGCGAGAACACTTTATAGACTCCAGCCTCTTGTGGCTGCTTACGCCTGAAGCCCGCCGAGATGTTGACTGGACAAACGCTAGCTACGCTGTTGAAAAACAGATCGGGTGTCTCAGTTGTCAAGACGCTGGCAAAGGGGAACAGGCGGGGATCCAGGAAACCAAAGTAAGAGGTGTTGAGGTAACCATGGACAATGGTTGCTACAGTGCTGTGATAGCTGCCGGGAAGCTGCTCAAAGGCAGGGGTGAAACCTTGGAAGTGGACTCCGGACCTGACACTTTCCTGGAGCGGCGTCGCCAACACTACAATGTCATACAGCTCTGATCCCGTCCCTGCTGCTGTGGTGAAGCTCAACTGGTACTGGGGCGCCTCCGCTGTACAGACACAAAATCAATGTCAACAGTGTACGACATGATTCAGATAGAAATTCATTGAAAGTCCGCTGGTATCTACTGGCAGATATAAACATCCAGCACATTTCTCATGTCTCGAGATGTCTGTGCCAACAGGCAATGTTGACACCCTAGAATGATAAATATGCATTTCTATGGCTACGTTCACACTGCAAGCCTTAGCGCTCAATTTTTTATTTTGTGGCCTATATCAGATTCCAGTGTGAAAAAGGTCACAGTCCTGAAGTTATATGAAATATATACCCTATTTTCAGTTTTCCTACATTTCCCAGAGCTGCTTTCAACAACCCAGAGACCTGACCTTGTAGCATTTAACTGTGCCTTTTAAATAACATGTTCTGTTGGTGCTTTACATTCTGGTCTATTGAGGCTATAGTCACTGGACAAACAGTATATCTAGCATATATAAGTATTTAGTATTTTTAGATGTCCTGTAACCTGGATGACTGAGAGTCTTCACTGACCAACAGTTGTTTCTGCTTCACCGAAAGCCTCTTCTGTTTGATTATGAGAGAAGGTCACCACAATATGACTATGTTTGTGTTTTAGATTGTTTTTATTTTTGTGGTATCAAACGTAGGAATTCTCTCTCACTCTGCTGTAAATATCTCAGTTGTTCGCTGGTTATCATAGGGAATGAGAAAATAATCAGTCATATAGTCCTGTTCTACTTCTATAACTTAAAGATACACAACGTGCAGCCATTGGAAATGTGGGCACTGCTGATTGGTCAACACATGACAACAAGAACAACTACAACTTAATAACAGTAACTGCCATTACACACGCAAAACACAATAAGGAAATTAGTCTTAATTCCTTTCTGAGCTTCTAATTGAGATATTTAATCTTTAATTAATATTAAGTGTTTAAATGTAGATAACAGCATTGAAATATAAAAAGAAAACTCTGAATGTCTGGTTTTAATCTCCCTCTTTGAGATTTTCAGAGGGTAACTTAAGGGTAAAAACTTGATTTATTTCTTTTTTTTGCTAACTCAACAATATAGTGTCCAATCTAAAAAGAAAAACTATATTCACGCTGCTCGCTGTCATTTCTGGATTTAAAAATTCAAGTAAATTCAAAATCAAACTTCTGATTATTTACGTAGTCAAGACTGAATGGAATCAATCTGTCCAATCAGAAAATGCTCTGCCAGTCATATGATTCAATATCAGATACTTTGAGTATGTTTGGGCATTATTATGAAATGAGAGATGACAGGAAATGGGAGAGAGATAGGGAAGGACATTCAACATTCAAGCTCCCTGAAAAAGGAAGAAAAATAAAATCCCGTTTTTAAAATTTCAACTCATGAAATGACCTTCTGGAAATTTCAAAGAAGGGGGATTCGAACGAAATACATTCAGATACTGTAGATCATTATTCAGCAGTGGTTGAATGTCACGATCAGGTATTCAGTTGCTTTAAACGTCAAATGATCATAGCATTTCTTTACTTCCATACATACAAACGTGTGACGGCCCCAGTCGTGCTGCTTTTAATGATGCATATCTAATATCAGTTTGTAAAAATACTGAGACTTCTAACATGATCCCACTCAACCAACATTGGGGTTAAGTACCTGAGTAGACTGGGGAGATGGAGTTGACTTGTGCTTGCAGCAGGTTAGCATTGGCCATCTTCAACAGGCCAGAACACACCAGCTTGTTGCCTCCTTCCACCGCCCACAGGTTGTTCTGGGCACCAGCTAAAGACACAGCGCCTGAAACACACACACAGACTCACAACAGACAGAGCCAAGAGCTGTAAACCAATTATCAGCTGCCCACACACTTTCCTGTTCTCTTGCTCCCACAGGCCACCCCCTCCTCTCACCTTGCTTTCCTCTCTGCTATTCTCGACACCCCGCTCCTCCCTTCCTCGTCTCCTGTATTTCTTTTCTTTTCCTTCCCCTTCCCTTTCATCTCTCCTGACCTACATCAGCGGCGACGTAGATGTTTTTTCGGCTCATAACTGGCTCTAATTTCAGCACCGCAGCCTCGCTCTTCCCTCTCTTCACTGTCTCTTTCCCACTCATCAACCCCCCTCGCTCTCTATTCTTCTTCTACTGCTCATTTCTTAACACTTATCTGACCTACAAAGGCGGGGATGCTGACATTCTGTCCGTAGTTGACCCTCATGACGGGCGCGATGACCTCGTCGATGAAGCGCTGCGACACACCCAGCTCCAGCAGCGAATCAGAGAGCGGCCTTCGGGTCATGTTGATGAAGCCGCTCCCACCGAGAGAGTCGAGGAGTTCCTCCACCGAGCTGAAGGCATAGCCATGGGCCTGGTACTTGTAGATCCTGTATTATACAAGCACACACAACAAATTGTTCATTTTGAATTTTAGTTGTAGACAGATTTATAAATTGATATGAATCTATTTTCCTCATGTCTATCTGAAAGTTGTGATTATAAGTAACTTCTCAGCGATTATCCCAGCATAACAAAAAAGACAAAGAGACAGGCAAAGAGATACTCAGGCTCACTGTTGTTGATTTACAGAGAAGTGATACAGAGATAAATCATTTCCTGAGGGAGGAAATAGAGGTCAGCGAATTGTTATGGTGGAAGGGTAACATGAAAATCTGGTTCATGTTTCAAGCAGAAACTGAGTAGAAAGATAACAGAACTGCAGCAAAAGACTGAATGCGTTGATTTAATATTTGACAGTCTGAGGACTGGCTGATTGTGGACATTAATTCTGTTGATTTATACTGTATCATTTTGTTGTGGGAGGATGAAGAGAGCTCAATTTTCATTATAGTGGCACTTAAAGATTTCAGGCAAGTTGTTGTCTGTATTTATGCCAACCTCATGCTTGGAAAGTCACACACTGAGTCGAGGTTTTACAGCGATTACGGCTGCAGGTGTAGGAAATAATAAATGGCACAGAATAGGCTTTTCCCATTGACTGCAACACTGGGAGGGAGTGTTGTTTATTCTACAGCTGAAGTTATTGCTTTTACAGTAATGTAAACTTGTTTGGTATCATGTGAAGAGTGTAAAAGTGAAGAATACTTTATACCTTCTAAGACCAGGTCTACCTTATCTTAACTATCAAGTAACATTACTGATACCAGAAACAGATGGGAGAAAATATGGAGCAGACCAGGAAGACAAATCAATTTGAAGAGGTGCAAGTACTAAAGTTGGGCCCATACAGCTGCCATGAAACTAAACAGCAAACAGGGCATTAATATTTCTGGCTCACCTCATGAATTTCTCCATAATTTCCTCCACCCACATCTGCAGGCGCATGAAGCTAATGCCATAGCGCCACCACAGCCGAAACAGGTCCAGCAGGTACCAGTCTGTCTCCTCCAGAATCACCTCTTCGCCGTTAAACACCGCCGTCTTACCTGCGACGCTGCGACGATACTTTAAACCTTGAGGGGCGGAAACAGGAAAACACAAAGGACAAACACACACAGGTAGAACTTTAATACTGAGGATGCTTTGAATGAATTTGTCTGTAACAGTTGTCAATTTTTACTGAAGAAATCAAAGGAGTAATGGACGGCACCACAACGAGATGTAAACAGTCATGTGGTCTGATTACTTTGTCAGGTTGCAGAACCATAATGATTTGTCTTCCAGTTAGAGAGAGACACATGTGGCGGTGGTTATTAAACTCAAACCATCGACCACTCTTCCTGCTCAGCGTACATCTGCTGGGGGCACAACATTTATCTGATCAAGCTACATACTTATCTCCATGGCTGATACTCAGGATCTCTATATTCTACAAAAAAAGCGTTCCTCATTTAAACCAGGAAGCTTTCTTAGCTTGTAACCATGAACAGATGTTTGAAGGTTACACTTGGAGTCACCCCTGTTGCTGTTGTTGTACTGAAAATCTTTTTTAAGCCTAGCTCTTTTTATATTTAATATGCAACCATGCATCCTTTTCATTAAAACAACTAAAAAAGTCTTGGCCTTTTAATCTGTGTGTGTGTGTGTGTGTGTGTGTGTGTGTAAACCAACCTAGCTGTTTGACAAATTCCTGCATGTGGAGGTTCAGGGAGTGAATGATGGAACCTCCCGACTCGTAGTCAAGATGGTTCACGGTTACAGTGGCGAGACGACCTCCAACCTCCCCTTTCTCAAACACGTCCACCTGCACTTCAGGGCCAAAGTGCTGCCGCAGGAAATGGGCGGTGGCGCTGCCTCCTATGCCCGCCCCGACCACCGCTGGAGCACAGAGGATCAGAGCCAACGACAGAGAAGAAGTGTTAAAATCAGAGTGCAGTTTGGAAATGAAATGACCATCAACCATACAGAACTGTTTATATTATTGTGGGCCATCTGGGTGTTTAAGGACATGGTAACATGTACATGTGTCTCAAATGGATGAAGAAATAAAGTAATCACAACTGAGTGATTAAAAAGTAATACTGTTTTCTGTTATTTTGCAGCTTTCAGTGGGTAGTCATGATTCTACAGCTGGACAGAGGAATGCAGACGATGAATAATGGTGTCTTGTTGTAGCGAGAAGCAAGCAGACTTGCTGTTTCTGGGAGTATTTTTTCCCCACTGGAAATTTCCACTGCAGGGTTTACCTTTAATAGCACCCTTAATGTGATTCAATAGAGAATCACGGGAGAAACCTCCCTCAAGCTAACTTCAGTGACGCAGTCAATACACTGCGATTGGTTAACTTCTTAATCAGGCTTTGTTTTTGCCTTTTAAATTCATATAACTAATTCTTGTCCCATTTAATTCTGTAAGATATTTTTTGCAGCAGAACTGGTTGTTGTTTGTTCTAACACATTTTTAACCTTACCTGGACTTTAAGTTGCCACCCAAACAATCTTGTGCCTTTGTCAAAATTACAGATCACCAAAAAAAAGCTGCAAAACGTACTTATGTACTTATAGTGCAAACCAACTGAATTTCATACCATGCCTATGAAAAAGGTTACCCAGTCAGTCATATAAGTCTCTGTGTGTAGGTACAGTATGTGTTGGTGGGCTGTGAGCAGGTGGACAGATGATGACAGGTGAAAATAGGGTCGTGTTAGGATGAGAAGAAAGAGGCGAGGGCCCAGACTTTCTCCATGAACACCTTTGAACCACAATGCCAAGTGATTTTATCTTTATCACCCGGATAATGTATATTTAGATAAATGAGGCAGCACCAACTATATCCCTTGTAAAGTCTAATAATAAATAAAATTACACCCAACCTGCAGATATTACAGGAATATGTGTATATGTAATAACCTGAAGGAGTTTACATTTATGTGTCTGCTTCATTAAAACACACGCTAGTGCTCTGACAGCGGGATAACATTAGCTCGTTTCCGCGGCTGGTTTTGATGTTTTAACACCTGCTTTTCTTGCCTATTTTAGAAGGCGGAGCTCCGTCGACATGAGCGGATCCCGCCGGGTCTCCGACAGCCGACCGGACTGTCAGCACGACGACGAACAGCGGGAGAAGAGAGCCGCCCATAGCGGAAACAGAGCAGCGACAACCGGGAGGAGAGGAGCGGTTAACGTTAGCTCCTCTCTTTCTTTCACACACACACACACACACACGTTAACGGTCGATTCAGAACAAAAGTACTTTTTTTTTAAACCGTTACATGTCGATGGTCGCTGTAAATGAATGAGTTTGCGTTTTAAGCCACAAAAGATGAAAGCTTGATGCAAATCAATTCACCAATGAACGGCCCACGTCCGGCAACATCACGTGATCTCAAAGAACGACTCGCCTCGACCAATCAGAGCCGTCTGCGCGGGTCCGCGGCCGTTGGTCTACGTACTTTACGTAACGCTGCAATTCTGGTTGATTAATGTTGCGTACGGTCGCGCAAACTACGGATGTGTTAATTAATTGCTAATTTAAAGCTGATACAGAACAGATATATTGACATGAAACTTTATTAGTGATACTATTTAAGATCAGGATGCGGTTATTGTTCATGTTGGCTCACTAGAAAGGCTCTGCTACACTAAGTAACCTTAATTAGTATCATTAATAATAATAATTAACACCCGATTACCCTATTTCATGTCAAAATGGCTGCTGTAAAAAATCTTGTATTTACACATTTACAAAACATGTGTAAAGTGTGTTTAGAGATGTTCATTTATAAACAAAAATAAAAAAAATTCACAGGACGACAATATTGAAAAAACAGTGGAAGTTGCTTTTATTTCATTCAACAGAGAAACTGCTGCGACATCGGAGTAAACCACTGAGCAGAAACTAACATTCACACTGAGCCGCTGAAACAATGACTGGCACAGTGGAGCAGTAAGGCTTAAGGACGCCTCAGACACGTGCACACACACACACGCACACACACACACATTCGCAGACACACACACACACACACACACACACACACACACGCAGACACACACACACACACACACACACACACACACACACACACACACACACACACACACACACACAGACGCAGACGCATTCTCTCTCACACACTTCATTTACATCCACTATCTTACACCTCTGTGGCTGCTCAGGCAGCAGCCTTATCACTATCCCTTCTCCCTCTAATCTGGTCAGTCAGAGGTGAGGGGTCATGGGTCACCTTGAGATCAGGTAACCTCTGTTCCCTGCTGTTGCCTTAAATGTTGGGCTATTACAGGGCTAAGAGGCGACATAACACAGAGACCTTAACCGTTCATCTCTATGGTACATCTCTAAGCAACATGACCCCCAGCAATAACACTGCGAGGCCAGCCGTGGGCCTGGAGGGCGGGGTTCAGGGGGTTGTTGGGGTCATGCTCTGGCCAAAGGGAGGGCAAGGAGGAGTAGGGCACCGGCCGAGAAGATGATGCAATTGGTCACTTTGTAGATCGTCGGGTGGGCTCAGAGGCGGTGGGGGGAGGTGGTGGGCCACGGCGGTCTAGGTCTTCGATGTAGAACATGATGAGCTTCCTGCGCTCCTCTGGGACACACTCCAGAACGAGGTACCGCTTATCGTTCTGAAGGATCTTCTCCACATCTTTCAGATGCTGCTCTGACTCCTGGATGAGCTTTCTCGACCTGGGGGAGGAGAGGACAGAAAAGCAGAGGGCACTCAGAAGCAGGATGGTAACAGTGCTTTCCTTTTTGTGCACGAGAGATTCTGGGGGAGACTGTGGTTTATGAGTCTTCATTAAAGCTATAGTCAACTACCAGACTTTCCTTTGCAACAGTCACTTAAACTCAAATATTTTCACTGGATGGGCGTTAAAAAACAACTGCGACTGTCTGTAAGTGACACAAGAAGAGTGTTAAATGACAGTTTGCAGTTTGTCGTGACTTAAATGCTACTTGTCTAAGAATCTTCCAATCATTTACCAAAGTTACTGAGCCAAGGACTTTGCATATTAATTCTAAAGGTTTGTCAAACAGTCTGCTTAATATTGGGGAAAATAAACTGAAACTGCATCTAAAGACGTGAGAAAATAATAAGACTATGACAAATGAAGTTGCTTATAGATACTTAAGTCGTATAACAGGTTAGAATCTCGAATAATTCTAATTGAATCAGGTTAGGTATATTGAATTTATACGTACAACAACACTTTGTAATATGTTTAATTACTATTAATGACAGTTTTGATTATCTAGTCTGTAAAGAGTGAATGTACAGACCTGTATGTGATGAACTTTGTCTCTTTTAGCAGGGTTCTGAAGTCAGCTTTGGCTGTGATGTACTTGTCTTTGATGTAGTCTTCAAACTCCCGCTGTCTCTTCTACAAAAGAGGTTAACACATCAGACTCCATTTCACAGGAAACATTTAAAACCTAATTATACTCTAACCAAAATCTTTTTAAGACATAAAAATATCAACAATCCTTTTGATCAAATCAGAAGTTGGGTCACTAGAGTCACAACACTCAAAGTAAATAATTGTCAGAAAGTGACTAATCTTTTTATTTTATAATTATACAAGCAGACAGGAGGTTACTCATTAAGAGTCTTACTCTGTCACTGGAGGAGAACTTGATACACCGAGGGTCCTCCTTGATGACCTTCTTCACCTCCTTCCACGTAGTTGTCAGAGTTATCTACAACACAAACAAAATACACTTAAAAAGTCGATCAAAATAAGTGATAAAGTGTAGAAATGGACGTGACATTAAGTCTTGAGTAGTATTTGTGTGCACATGCAAGAAATAAAAACAAATAGAGAGTCTTTACCATGCTGGTCTCGTCCAGTAGCTGCCTGAAATGTTCTTTCTTCTTCTTGGCCAGTGCTTCTACGTGTTCGTTAAACAGCTTTTCCTTCTCCTCTCTCTCTAGCAGTGATGCTGACTCCCAGCGATGGTCCTTCCGCAGGTTACGGCGCGTGTCTGACCACGTTGCATCTGAAGACCGTACCTGAGGAATGAACAAACACAAACATTCATTTAATGCTCCATGGGATCAAAGTTTCTGGACACTAGTCCGTCTTGTGCTCCTGCCAACATACTTATATCTTAAACGTCCCAAATAATAATCCCTGCAGTCACAATCATAGCTCTAAAATCTGATTTGTTTCTGCAGGGGGTTAGTGAGGACATACAACTATGGCTACAATCAGCTGCAGAGGATCTCACCATATCAGACATGAGAGCTTTGAAATGCTGGATGGCCTCCTCCCTCTTGTGCTGCTCCCTTTCTCTGTCGATCTCTTTGGTTTGCTCTGATCGGGCCTTCTGCACCTCCCGCTCCCTCTCTCGGAGACTGGCCTCGATGCGAGCCTGCCGCTCCAACTCCCGCTCCTTATCGATGTCCACGCTCTGTGGAGTATGACACACGTTGTCTGTGTAATCTTTATTTGTTATGTGATGAGTAGCTTGAAATCAGAACCGTAAATCAGGGTTAGTTGATTAAATAATTTGGTTATAAATGGGTAGGAATTAACTTTACAATGCTCCTCCTGACATTTAAAGTCAATCACAAGGACAACACTATTTATACTAGGCATGTTGAGTCTTTCTCACTGATTGAGTAGTCACGTAATATCCTCGATTCCAAGTTGACTAATTGCACAGAGAAGAAATGTTCCGTTCTAACCGAATATGAGACAACGCTGATAAGAAGACAGACTCTATAAATGGACCTAAAGAAACTGGCGAGCATAGCAACAATGAGTCTACAAACAACCCATAATGCAACACCCTCATTAGGAGTCAGTGGCTGTGTTCGAAATCACATACTAATTCATACTATTAAAGTAGGACATTAAATTGAGAATGTATTGCAGTATTTTCCCTTAATTTGGTGTGGATTACAGCAAAAATGTGGAGATAGTGCAGGTACCCCTCTGTTCTATGCAGTCATGTGTATATTCGGGTATATTTTTTAGGATGTTGTCTTGGCCGTGTGGCAGCATATTATTTCCATAAAAATAATAAATGGGGGGGGGGGGAGAACAATCAGGTATGTGTCCGATTAATCTATTACTAACACCATCCAATTGTGTACCATCTAATTTATACCCACAGCTACAAAAGTAAAATAAGAAATGTTCAACAATATCTTCATCAGATCAGATATCACTAGAAGATACACATTGAAGCAATCATCCCCCATACAGAGAACTGCTCCTACCTTGGCTTGTTTTTCCATGTACTGTTTGAAAAGTTCTTCTCTGAGTGCGGAGCTCTCCACAGCCTTGTATCGTGGGTCAGTCTCTAGCCTCTCTTTCACTTTACTCCACCGCTGGCCTCCCTCTATGTGCTGCTCAGTTAGGAGATCAAAGAAGTCTTGCTTCACCTGAGAGTAAAACACACACACACACATCAAAACTGTGCAGATGGCAGAACCTCAGTAACTTTCTCAAGGCACATCAACAAGGTAAGAAAAGCCTGCATAGGTCTTGACTCATGGTCAGTCGACCTCTTTAACCTAAAAAAAACAAAACATCACATTCTTGTTCTAGAGAGAGATACTGTACATTGATATTTGAGTGTGGGTGATACCTTCTCTCCTCTGGACTTGGAGTCCTCTTTCTCTCTCTTCCTCATTGCAGTGATGAATTCTATAAAGATAGCCTCCCTGTCCTTCATCTTCTCGATGGTCTTAAATCGTGGGTCTCGGCCGTGCTTCACTGCAAATTCACTAAACGTTGTTCTGTAAAGATAAAACCCAAAAGAAAAAGAGATTAAATTTACAATGTTGAAGCAAAGCGAACAGTTATAAACATCCAAATTAAATGATCTATTCACCACAACGAGATATTACTTTTGTTTAATACTAATAATATATTATAATAGTAAATATTGCAAATATATGGTAAAATAACTGTAGATAAGTGGCCAGTCCCTTTACCTAGGTGTGAGCTTTGCATCCTCCATCATCCTCCTGAACTCGTCTTTGGCCTGCATCAGCTTGTTCTTCTTCTCCTTCCTCTCCTCCTCTGCTCGTGTCTTCACATACTGATCAAACACCTGAAGTGGACGTAAACATAAATATATGACTTAAAAATAATGGCCGGTACAATACTGTGAGAAAGTGAGAAAGAGTAACACGTGAGTAACAAGAGACAGAAACACGTGAGAAACCGAACCTGTTTTCTCTCTTTTGGGTTGAGCAGAAGGTAACGTGGGTCAAACACAATCTTATGAAGCTCTTTGTCCCAAGTCGAGAATGCAGACACCTAAATGGATGGATGGAAAAACGGATAAAACAGGCATTAAACGGACAGCTAAAACTTAAAACACTACATCACAACACTATTA